TATATGATATATTTATGATGGTTTATGTAATATTATATGTGATTGGAGTATAGATTACAGTAGATGTGTTGTGTATCTATATAAATATATACATACATACCATACCATACCATACCATAACATAACATAACATAACATACATAATATATATATATACATTGTAGAGACATCCTTTGTGGTGAATAGCGATTTTGTCCGGTTGGCCAACAGCATGATTGTAAAGGATTATGGCCAATGCGCAGGGCCGGACTTCGCAAAGTAACCAGGTATCACAGAATCCTATGCTTGGCCGCAGCTCGTGCGACACTGTGCCATATGGGAAAAACATAATTTAAAATATATAATATATATATATATATATAACACACACACAGATATATATATATCTGTGTGTGTGTGCATGTAGCTTATTTTTATCGCATATATTTGTGCATGTTATCCTGCCACATACATACTTCAAAATTTGTATCTAAGCGAAGCCATGGGCCATTCATTTTGGGCCTGGTTCACGAGGGTGCCAGGGTTTGGACGTTCTGGCTTTCATGAAATCAAAACCAGTGAACTACCCTCTGGTAAACTAACATAGCTATTGAAAATGGTCATTTATAGTGGATTTACCCATTAAAAATGGTGATTTTCCATAGCTATGTTAGTTTACCAGAGGGTACGTTTTTGTTGATGATTGATGGTTTTATGCCGGGGCGCAGTTTCAAATTCCTCCAGGCAAGGGGCCCAGGACAACTGTGGTGTGAACAGAAAACATCATGTGCATTACCGGCTCAGTTCCAAATCGCTGGCGTCGCCCCTGGGGTCCAGGATGGAGACAGCGTTGGTGCTGTTGCCCAGCAGCCAAAGCTAGCTGCAATAAGATCCGTGTTTACTTTGTGGCTTGTGGGAGGTGACAAGATAGTCACATGGGGCAACCGAGACTATGGAGGTGACAGCTCCAGAGATGAGCTCAGGAATGTGCAGCAGATTTCGTGCACAGGGGGTGCTTATGCTGCCATTTTGGCAGATGGAAGCGTAGTGGCCTGGGGCGATCCATACTATGGTGGTGACTGCTCCGGAGTCCAAGATGAACTCAGGAATGTTCAACAGATTTATTTGTGGCACATGGAGGGCTTTTGCTGCGATTTTGGCAGATGGAAGCGTGGTGACATGGGGCTGTCCAGACCCTGGTGGTGACTGCTCCGCAGTCCAAGATGAGCTCAGGAATGTTCAACAGATTTATTTGTGGCACATGGAGGGCTTTTGCTGCGATTTTGGCAGATGGAAGCGTGGTGACATGGGGCTGTCCAGACTGTGGTGGTGACAGCTCCGCAGTCCAAGATGAGCTCAGGAATGTTCAACAGATTTATTTGTGGCACATGGAGGGCTTTTGCTGCGATTTTGGCAGATGGAAGCGTGGCGACATGGGGCTGTCCAGACCGTGGTGGTGACTGCTCCGCATTCCAAGATCAGCTTATTTACATTTCGGCGCAAGTCAGGGCCAGGGCGGTCAGGGCAAACAAAAAGTGCGGCTGCCACATCCCCGTACTGGTTGCATTTGTGGACTTCCCAGCTGGCTGTTTCTCATAGTAACGTGATTGAACTCGAAACTGTTTTCCAGATTCCATTTTCTTACTGGTGCTTAGTAGGGAATGAGGGAATGATCCACAATAATTAACTATCAATAAAATCGCTAGTAATAATCATCCCAGCAACCCCCAGCAACCCATCCATTCCCTACGTTTAGCACCAGTAAGATTTTAGGGTGTATCATTTGACACTGTTTGAAGGAGCATGGGCAATGGCAGTCGTGTTGGGTGGGTTTTCTGGGTCCCCGTGACCCCCATGAGGACGTCAAAGCACTTCTGCATGGATCACCATGAAGGATGGTTAATAAGTGCTTGGGGGGTTGTGTTTCTGTACACGATTACCATGATTTCCCACTACCTTTCCTAAACCCATGTAGGTTTAGAAAGGTAAAAAGAGGAACCACAAACCAAATCCCAAACCCTAGTAGAATAGTGATCTATAAATTTCATATAAACACACGTTTTTTTTTTTTCTTGGGGTTAGCGTATTAGATCATCTAAAGTTGCAGGCGCAAGAGGCCCTGAGCGAGAAGGAAGCGGAACCACTGGCGCCTGGGCGGGGTCAAAACAGTGGATTTTATCATTATAATGAAACCGTAAACAGCGTGCGATGATGATTTGACTGTTTTTTAGCCATCAAGCATAGTGATTTTTCACCAAGCACAAATGGGCAACCAATTGGATTTTAAGACTGAATCATAGTGATTTAGCAAGTAAACTTAGGATTTTAAGCATCACAACTTGGGATTTCAGCCAGAAACAATTGGGATAAACGAGCAAAATCCAGCAAACATATGGATTTTAAGCAAATTGAAGCAAAAAGACGTGCGGATTGAGGAGCAACAAGTGTGATGAGTGGGGGTCAATCAAGTAACATGTTCTACTTATCTGTTTGGTGATCTGTTAGCCAATCCACGAGACCTGTCGGAAGTCACCAGCGAAGAAGTCATGAAAGAAGGTGGGTCAGCACGCTTGCCTGGATTTGCCAGGCGGGATTGTACCCACACAAGTATGGATAGAAGCAACAACAAGTTGAGGATACCATCTGGTTATTTAACATAGCCATGGAAAATCACCATGCTATTAATAGGTAAACCATCTATAAATGGGCAATTTCCATGGCTATGTTAGTCATAACCAGAGGATATAGGATATTGCGGTCAAACGTAGGGAACCAAGGTGAATGATGGCAAAGGTAGGGTGTCCAACAAGCAGAGAAACATCTGTATCCAGCAACGAGTGACCGTTGTCACCAGGGACTTCGATTCAGTCACTGGTAATTGAGGATGGTTGGCTCTGCTATTACCCTCCGGTAAACGTTTACATAATTTTGGAAAGTCACCATGCTATCAACGGGTAAATCCACGAACTGTCTATGGCCATTTTCAAGTTCGCAAACTGGTAAACTAACATAACTATGGAACATCACCATGCTATGAAACTGGCTAGTCATCAACTATGTCGACTGGGCCATTTTCAAGTTCGCAAACTGTAACAGTCATTACCAGGCCGGGTAACCAGATTCCCATGAGCCAATCTGATGGTGAAGATCACCATTTTGGGTTGTGAATTTCCTTGATTTATTGCTTCATGGCCCAGAAATTTATGTGTAACATGTCAAAACCATGGAATTTGGTGGTGACATGGCGTCTACAATTGCTATCAATTGCTCTAGCGCTTTAGAATCTTTAGAACCCCCTGGCATTGAATGATCTCCCTGACTTTCACACTCAGACTTTCCGCTCAGAAACATCTGGCCCCTGGATAACGGTACATCCATTTCCAGAGCCGGGTCTGAAAATGGTCATCCAATTTTTTGTCCGGGTCATCCCCATTCTTGTCAAGTGAGTTGCGTCATTCCTTCCCCGTACCAAATACCTCTAAGGAAGCGCTGCTTTGGTATTGGATCTATTTTTTCTTGGCCAAGAAAGGGTGATTTTCGAATGGTCGAAGGATGGGATCAAACTATATTTTATATTTGACAATATGGTTATAACATGTTATAAGCCCAATTTTTGACAGTTGCATAGCTCTTTTGGTTGGTTAGCGGTTGGCCATCGAGATCATTTTGGGACTGGGATCACATGTCTTGCTGGCCCATTGCCATAGAAAACCCGACCCAGGTAGCGAAGCCTGCTACGCCGTAGGGCGAAAATATCTGGCACATCCCTGGCTTTTGGTGTCGGAAGATGGGCTGGAATTGTGTTTTCTTTTTTTGGGGGGTACCCTCCTGTAAAGCAACATACAGTGGATGTGAAAAGCACACCGTTTGAAAGTCATTTTTCGAAACCATTGGCCTTTTCACATCTATGTTTTTTTTTTTAAATAAACCCTAGTCTAAGTATCCCAAAAGTCGACTTGTTTGAGGTTGGTGAATTTTTTTTATGTATCCAGATCATGGCCATGGCATTTTTTCGGCATCATAATGATTCACCAGTGGCTTTGGTGATGTTGGGTGTGTGTTTTTGCCTTTTTAAAGGGCAATCCCAGGTGAGGAGCTAACACCTCAGGTAGCAAAAAAGATGAGTTAGCTAGATGAGTTTCAAAATCCTCAAGATTTTGGAGCTGGCTAGACTGATGTTCAAATGTTTTAATATCATTTTCAGCCTTAAGGATTGGATTGGGAATGTAATTCTTAAGCATAGTTGTATGGATGTTACATGGATGGTTTTGGCCAAGGATGGATTGGTGGTTTTTACCCATCACTTGGGGGGTACACCGTTTCGGAACGTTTCGGATATACTTGGGGTGCAGGTGGGGTGATCTTTATGGGTATAGCAATGGTGATAATATGATTAATATTGATCATCTCCATAAGTTAGAAGATACCCTCTGGTAAACATGCAAAAAACGATGGAACATCACCATTTTTAATGGGTAAATCAACTATAAATGGCCATTTTCAATAGTAAACTGGTAAACTAACATAACTATGGAACATCACCATGCTATGAAAATGGGTAGTCATCAACTATTTCAATGGCCATGTTCAATAGCAAACTGTAACAGTCATTACCAGAGGGTATCTACTTAGTTCACTGGAACTGCACCCCGTGCGGGAGAGGTCCGTCTCATCTCATCTGTGGCCGCCCTGCAGTCGCCGTTCGGTTTAGGGCGGGAAGAGCCAGTCGAGGAATGAAGGACGAAACGCCACCCCACATTCCGCTTAGTAGTTGTGGCTTTGACAGTGGCTGGATATGTGCCCATTTTGGTTGAGATGTATCTACCTGTGGTGCTACTACGTTCAGCCTACAGTTGTCCTGCTCTTACCCTTTGCAATCCACATGATCTCCTGTTGAAACCACCTGTTCTCATTTTCAACAACCCATCAAACAGCTGGGCGCGGTTGAGTTTCCAGCTCAGCTAATCCGCACCGCATGTTGGTTACTTGACGCCCTGCGCGTGTCCCATCTCTAGCCTGCCATGGGCAAGCGTGCTGGCGCCAAGCCGGGCGGCGCGCAGAACCGCTCCGCCGGCGGCGGATTGCCGAAGCGAAAGCCGCGAGGTGCGGCAGAGTTCACCTCAGGTGTTGCTTCAGTCTTGGGACTATACATATATCATCATGCTATATACATATGATTACATATGCATGTATAGTCGCATATATAAATATATGCATACTTGTTCATATGTATATATAGAGATACAGGTATAGGTGTAGACATGTATATTATATGTGGAGAGAGAGAGAGAGAGAGAGTATTATTTGCCAAGAACTAGCAGCTTCGGCTACTTATCCTCCCTGACGTAATGGTTGAAAAAAATCGGAGGTTTTCACAGCTGCAAATCTGAGGTGGACAGGGTGGTGGCTACAAAGCAGAAGACTTCCAGGATTTGGTGTTCCTTGGTTATTCACCTTTTAGCTGAGTATTGGAATGAAATGGAATGAAATACATGGAGAATTGGTTGGGGATATGGCTGTTGAAGGGAATATCATGGCTGGTTGGTGGTTGGTGAATGGGTGAATCTCCATGAATAGTGGTTAGATTATATCTATCTGGTTGGTGGTGACTGGAACATGGCTTTTATGACTTTCCATATATTGGGAATTTCATCACCCCAAGTGACGAACTCCATCATTTTTCAGAGGGGTAGGTCAACCACCAACCAGATCATTTAGCACTTGGGACATAGCCCGATGGAAGACTTGCAAAACTGTCAACGAAATAGGCTCACCATAGGGAATCCATCTTCTCAACAAATGTTGGGGACCAATGGGTCGTTCATGGAATACTGGCGGTATTTCATTGAAAAAAAAAATACACCCCTTTAAGTGAAATTGAATTATCAGCCATACCACCACATATAAATGATAAGTCGATAACTTTAATAAAAAATGAAGTAAATGACAAAAGAACCTATAGACAAATAGATGTACGGGCTGATGGTGTCCGATATGTATAATTCCCACCCTTACATTGAAGGAGTTGCATCTTTGTTAAAATCTAGGGACCCTCACCTGGGAGAAGGGAAAAACAATGAAAACATACATGTTCATGTTTTCATACACGCATATATATATATACACATACATAATATATATATATATATATATACGTATGTACATATAATATATATATGTAAGTATATGACATTCGCTTGTTGATATAGTAATATTATCCTTAAAATATTTTTTTTTTGTGCGACCCATCGCAGAAAAAATCGCTATGCAAACTGTGCATTTTTGCAACGCATGTCTCAACGCCAAAGTCCGCTCGAAGGTCTCAACTGAAGCCTCTGGGCCTTGCGGTGCTGAAGATGGATGCGGATGGGATCCTGGGCAACGGCGGACAACACCAGGTCAAGCGTAACGGCGTAACGTCGGGTACTGTAAGTTCCAACGGAAAAACCGTTGATTTGGGCAAGGTATCATGGATTATATTTGGGATGATGGAATGATGGAAGATGAACATCCAGAATCTGTTCTTAGTCCGATGTGAACAGGGGAATAGGGGTTGACCCGCAGCTTATTGGCTGTTTAGATCCAGTCTTGTTGATTCTATTCCCATCTTCTGGAACCATCATGGAACCATCTCCATTTTCATGGGTATGTCGAACCTGAACATCCTCAACCGACTGAAAACAGTGGAATTGCCCTTGGAAGAACTTGTTTTCCTTGCTGGGGGCTTCACTTCTGGACCTGATCTGGGCATAGTCAAAATTTCTGCCTGATACTCTTGGATGGTTTCAAGCTGAACATGACCAGCCCAATAATGTCCTTTTGGTAAAAATAGAGGGGCCGGGAGCTGGTATACCGTACCATCTATCATCATAGAAACCTGTTGTTAAAGGGGTAGTTTCAAACCCCTCTTTTTTCATCAACCAACCAATGGGAAAAGGACATCTATGGACCAGCACTGGCCATATGGTCATCCATTGGGGAGCCAAGACTGCTTGGAGATATCTCACCTGGGAATGGTATGAACCAACTCAAATGTTTTACATTTTCAATCCTACATTTTCAATCCTCTATTTTACTGGTTGGTTCGGGCTCCAACATCGCAAAACTGACATCATGAATCGCATTTTTTTGTTGACACTATGATGTTTTCTCATGTTTTCTCATGTTTTCTCATGTTTTCTCATGTTTTCTCATGTTTTCTCATGTTTTCTCATGTTTTCTCATGGTTCTAGATCCCTTCCACCACCATTTTGGGTGGCAAAAAGTTTGGCCAATCCCCCCACCCCTCCCCGGTGGCTTCACCGCCGCGCGACAACCAGGAACTGTTTGTTCCGCTCGGTGGCCGATCAGCTGTGCGGCGATGCCAACGAACATCAGAGCTATCGCGAGCGATGCTGCGAACATATGCTGGACCACGCGGAGGCGAAGTCATTGGATTTCGATGGGTTTTCTGATCTGGAAACTCCGGAAACTCCGGAAACCTGAATGGTGGGTTTTCTAATCCATTAAAAACAAGGGGGTTTCCGGTGTTGACCTTTTTCCAAGAAAACCAATCCCATGAGGAAGAAATTCACTGAGATATGAAATCAACCATCACTATCCATCACTAGGATATGAAGGATATGAAATGTTCACTGGGGTATCAACTGGAGGCACCGAAAGTTGGGTCGGACACCATGGCGATGTCCCAAAAAAACTCGTCGCCACTGATGACTGATGACGGTTGATGGGTGAAATGCCCCATAGAAAGCAACCGAGAAATAAATTCAGGTGGGAAATTTATGAACATCTCCAATGTTGCTGGCAGCTCGCTTTGTGTTGACGCGTTTCCATTCGCGTTTCCCATTCATTCTTCCATTCCGAAGAATCATGAAACAATCAATGGATTGGTTTAGTGGAAAATTTACCGGAAAACCCCACATTTAATGGTAAAACCCCATGGGTTTCCGGTTACAATTTTCCCGTGAAAACCAATCCATTGAAACAAGGCATGCCAAGCTTCACATTTTCAGACTCCTTTTCGTTGACCGCCAAGCACTCAGCGACCCGAAAAGGAGTTTAGCCTTTTCTACGTGGCCGATGACTTTGATGCTTGGCAGCCATATACCATTTATAGACGACTTCGTTTCGACAGCATTTTCTAGCCATCCAGCGATTTGGACCATATATATATATATACATACACATACACACACACACACATATATATATACACACCCTCTGGTTATTTAATATAGCTATGGAAAATGGGCCATTTATAGATGATTTATGATGATTTACCTATTAGAAATGATGATTTTCCATATCTACGTTAAATAACCACAGGGTCTAAATATGATTAAATGCACTTTCCAACAAACAGCTAGCATATCCACTTTTCTCCAGGTGTCCTTTCTTTTTTTTTGGGGGGTTTTCGGGGCAGTTGGGCTAACCAAATGTACCAACGGTCCCACCAGCTGCGATCAGAGGAATCCAGCTGCGATTCCTTCGAGTCCTACGTCTACAAGATGCGACGGCCAGGGACCTGGGGCTCCCAGCTGGAGCTGATGGCACTCTGCCAGAGCTACGGCGTGTCGCTGGGATTTTTCACGGAGATTCGCCGAGCTGGGATCATTTTGAAGGGGTTTTAGATGTTTTAATGGGGAGATTGAAAGGGATTTTTTCATGGAGTTTAGTGGAGTTTAACGAATTTTACTGATGACTTTAAATGATTTCAATGGATTTTCATCGGGATACATAGCCAACAAATTGAGACTTGGGTTTGTCTGAGAATGGGGGATGAACCACAGCACAGCAATAGGGAAAATGATGACGGCGGCCAGGCGTGACTAACCGTAGTGACTAACCAATGGATTTACGGGCACCCTATTTTCAGACAAACCCATAAAGTCTGCGGCTGTAAAGACATTTTTTTTTTTGTGCGAGGTGTTGGAGGAGTTCAGGCTCAAAGATTTTGGAAGCAAAATCTGCCGGGAAAAATGCCATTGTGCATGAAATAAGATGAAATCAGCCACAATTGATCCATTGATAACTGGCCAATTTTGGAGGTTTGGACCATTTTGGACCCATCGGCCACTGTGGCTCAGGAATGCCATTGTGCATCAGTCTGGCCTGCCGTCATACGAGATGGTCTTCAGCCCGCAGGACAGTGGTGGGTGGTGGGAGGCTGCCAAAACATGGAGGTCTTGCTGGGAGCACATCCAGCAGGATCAGTACCCTCTGGTAATTTGTTACATAGCTATTGAACATGATCATTTATAGTTGTACCTATTGTAAATGGTGATTTTCCATAGCTATGTTAGTTTACCAGAGGGTACCATTCTTTCTGGTGTTTTTGCGGCAACTCGTTCATTGAAAAAAATCTCCTATGAATGGCCCATCAAATTCAAAAGCTGGCCCATAGTTTGGCCCATTTTACCATAGCTATTAATTTGTAAAAACCTATAGTAGCTATGGTAATTCTATGGAATATGGTAACCACCCCATATGGCAGGATCTACCATAGCTATATTCTATTGACATCCTGTAAAGACCATCCCAAGTGGCGTTGCCACCGCTAGGAGAGTCCGTGCATGCAGATCTCTTACCATGACGGCGAGCACTTCAACAGTGTTAGGTTGGGCTGTTGGGAAGTGGTGCTTAATTGTGGGCTAAGAATAGAACATAATAACTCGATAATAACCCCCAAACATATTAAAAAAACATCGAAAATGACCAACTAAGTCACTATATGTTTTATAACTTTCTACATTTTTTTTGGGGGTTTCCTATAGATTAAACCATCCCAGATTTCTCCCCCCCCACTCGGGCCAAAGAAAACCACCGGACACCGCCGCTCCGCTTGAGGTTCGCTTGGGATTTGGAGGGCCCGGTGAAGCATTTCTCCTTGGCGCAGTTGAAGGGCAACGGTGAAAAGATGAAAGGCTTAGTGGAGCAGGTGGGAGCTGCTGACACGCTGACACCACAAAGCAAATAACAGGGTAAATTTAATGATGATTAATGAACAATTATATAATGATAGTTCATCCGTAAGCCGACCCCTGATACAAGTTATTAATGAAATTATACTTATATTTAAGTACGCCCCCTGGATCCTTAAATTCAACATGGAAGCCCAAAAGCAGGGCGTGGAGGCGTGGAACATGATTTTCCTATTGGATAGTAACCCCATGTGGAAGGCGCACGCAAAATCAAACAACCAACAACCAAACCAACAACCAACAACAACAACCAACAACAACAACAACAACAACAACAACACCAGCAGCAGCAGCAGCAGCAACAGCAGCAACAGCAACAGCAACAACAACAACAACAACAATAACAACAGCAACAACAACAACGACATCCCATTCTCTTCATACTAGATATTTCCAGCAAGGTACCCTAACTCATGAATAACATCCCTTGATCGCACCCCAAGATTATTGGCATATTATTGGCTTGAGTTTCTGATCTATGACATAATGAATTATATAATATGGAGGTTTCCTAAAATAGGGGTACACCTAAATCATCAACTTTAATAGGATTTTCCATTATAAACCATCCATTTCGAGGTACCCCTATTTGAGGAAACCATCATATCATCATTATGATTTGCGCCAACATCGGCTCAATGCTTCAGGGAAGCCTCTTGCAAGAGGGCGCATTCGAGAGATCTATGTCGAATGGGCCGTGAAGCCAATAAGCTAAGTGCCAAAAATTAAAAAGATAGCATCTTTACCCTCTGGTAAACTAACATAGCTATTGAAAATGGCCCATAGAAATAGTGAGTTTTCCCATTAAACATGGTGATTTTCCATAGCTATGTTAAATTACCAGAGGGTAATATTTCCATTGGTTTGCTGATTGTTTGGTTATCAACATTGATCTCCATCATCCCCAGCATGCGTTTTTTTTGGTCGGTTGTCAGTTTTTTCAAGGGCACACATTTGCTGATAAAAGACTAAATATCTGGTTTACAAGGAACGCATTTTTGATGGATCAGATCACCGTTTCATGGTATTTATATATTTAAATCCCTATTTCAATTATTGGCACATGTACATATAAAACTCATACAAATACATATATACTAGTATATATATATTCCTAAGACATCCTAAGGCTACATAATGAGATGTATTGAAATCATCATTTCTGGTGGCCCAATTCCCCAAGGACTTTCCCGTGCTTCAGAGCGGCAGGTGACCTACAGCCTTCCACCGGAGCATGGCTTTGATGAGACCACCATGCGGCAGACGCTGCTGCAAGCAAAGGTGTCGGATAGACCGGGGAATGTGGGGAAAATGGCCAAATGGCATGTTTGGAGTTGAATTGGTATTTGTTTCTAGAAAGAATATCACAACTCAAACGAACTCTATACATGATTGTTTTTTTAAATCAGATCAAAACACGCCCAACCATAGCTTGATGACACAATAGAAGCCATTTGAGGGGGCGCTTCTTGTACCAGCACTATCCGCATCCACAGCAGCGTAGGAAGACGTGGATCTTGCAGTCGAGCTGCTGTTGAAGAAGATGACCATTGCGGATGGGGAGGTGGGGTTGCACTACCCGAGCCGCATGATCCATGTGATCCTACTTACCCTCTGGTAATTTAACATAGCTATTGAAAATGGTGATTTATAGTGGATTTTCCCATTAAAAATGGTGATTTTCCATAGTTATGTTAAATTACCAGAGGGTATAGCCATAGTAATGTATGGCAATATAGTCATAGGGCCGTACTTAAGTTGATGACGCATAGCCTTTGTGACTGATAAAGAATTTTGAACTAGTCATTGAACTACCGTAGATGGACGAAATATTCAAACCCCTTCTATCCGGTACAACCCCCTCGCCCCCAAAGTTCAATGTTATTGTAACCTGAAGTGCGTTAGCCCCAATGGACGAAAAAAATCAAACCCCTAACATCACTTTTGCTAACACGCGCGCTGAAACATTGAGATTTGGGGGTGCGGGGGTTCAACGTAGTGCGTGCTGCAGGGTTTGAATATTTTGTCCATCTACTGTCTCGTTCTCTGATGTTTTCACATCTTTTGGTCTCCAAACTCTGTTGTGGAAACATCAATGTGCATGCTGCTGATCTTCTTCCAAACTGCGCAAAACATTGGTTTTTCACAAGTAAATGCCTCCTGTCTGTCTCCCGTCCCATTTTTTTCTATTCCCTAATTCGCAACATATTCCTAAGTGCACAAAACATTGTGTTTTCACAGGTAAGTGCAACCTTTGTGCTTCCCGTCCCATTTTTTCTATTCCCTAAGTCGCAACTTATTCCAAACTGCAAAAAACATTGTGTTTTCACAGGTAAATGCTGCATGTGTCTCTCGTCCCATTTTTTCCTATTCCCTAATTCACAACTTATCGTCCCAACATTCGCGCAAAACATGTCTCTCTCGTCCCATTTTTTCTATTCCCTAATTCGCAACTTATTCCAAACTGCAAAAAACATTGTGTTTTCACAGGTAAATGCTGCATGTGTCTCTCGTCCCATTTTTTCCTATTCCCTAATTCACAACTTATTCCAACATGCGCAAAACATTGTGTTTTCACAGGTAGATGTGCATGTCTCTCTCGTCCCATTTTTTCCTATTCCCTAATTCACGACTTATTCGTTTGACGTGGCCCTGCCAATGGATTATGTCATTTGTGACGTGCTGCTTCTTTTTAAGAGAAAAATATTTCCTATTTTTAATTAGGAGCTGTCTCATGCTGTTCAAGTTGCAAAATCCATTGGCAGGGCCACGTCAAACGAATAAGTCGTGAATTAGGGAATAGGAAAAAATGGGACGAGAGAGACATGCACATCTACCTGTGAAAACACAATGTTTTGCGCATGTTGGAATAAGTTGTGAATTAGGGAATAGGAAAAAATGGGACGAGAGACACATGCAGCATTTACCTGTGAAAACACAATGTTTTTTGCAGTTTGGAATAAGTTGCGAATTAGGGAATAGAAAAAAATGGGACGGGAAGCACAAAGGTTGCACTTACTTGTGAAAACACAATGTTTTGTGCACTTAGGAATATGTTGCGAATTAGGGAATAGAAAAAAATGGGACGGGAGACAGACAGGAGGCATTTACTTGTGAAAAACCAATGTTTTGCGCAGTTTGGAAGAAGATCAGCAGCATGCACATTGATGTTTCCACAACAGAGTTTGGAGACCAAAAGATGTGAAAACATCAGAGAGCGAGACGGTACCAACTGGGGTGTGCGGCATGCCGCACACCCCAGTTGGTACCGTAGATGGACGAAATATTCAAACCCCTTCTATCCGGTACAACCCCCTCGCCCCCAAAGTTCAATGTTATTGTAACCTGAAGTGCGTTAGCCCCAATGGACGAAAAAAATCAAACCCCTAACATCACTTTTGCTAACACGCGCGCTGAAACATTGAGATTTGGGGGTGCGGGGGTTCAACATAGTGCGTGCTGCAGGGTTTGAATATTTTGTCCATCTACTGTCTCGTTCTCTGATGTTTTCACATCTTTTGGTCTCCAAACTCTGTTGTGGAAACATCAATGTGCATGCTGCTGATCTTCTTCCAAACTGCGCAAAACATTGGCTTTTCACAAGTAAATGCCTCCTGTCTGTCTCCCGTCCCATTTTTTCTATTCCCTAATTCGCAACTTATTCCTAAGTGCACAAAACATTGTGTTTTCACAGGTAAGTGCAACCTTTGTGCTTCCCGTCCCATTTTTTTCTATTCCCTATTCCCCACCCATTTTTTTCTATTCCCTAATTCGCAACTTATTCCAAACTGCAAAAAACATTGTGTTTTCACAGGTAAATGCATTCCCGTCCCATTTTTTCTATTCCCTAATTCGCAACTTATTCCAAACTGCAAAAAACATTGTGTTTTCACAGGTAAACATGTGTCTCTCGTCCCATTTTTTCCTATTCCCTAATTCGCAACTTATTCCTAAGTGCACAAAACATTGTGTTTTCACAAGTAAGTGCAACCTTTGTGCTTCCCGTCCCATTTTTTCTATTCCCTAATTCGCAACTTATTCCAAACTGCAAAAAACATTGTGTTTTCACAGGTAAATGCTGCATGTGTCTCTCGTCCCATTTTTTCCTATTCCCTAATTCACAACTTATTCCAACATGCGCAAAACATTGTGTTTTCACAGGTAGATGTGCATGTCTCTCTCGTCCCATTTTTTCCTATTCCCTAATTCACGACTTATTCGTTTGACGTGGCCCTGCCAATGGATTATGTCATTTGTGACGTGCTGCTTCTTTTTAAGAGAAAAATATTTCCTATTTTTATTTAGGAGCTGTCTCATGCTGTTCAAGTTGCAAAATCCATTGGCAGGGCCACGTCAAACGAATAAGTCGTGAATTAGGGAATAGGAAAAAATGGGACGAGAGAGACATGCACATCTACCTGTGAAAACACAATGTTTTGCGCATGTTGGAATAAGTTGTGAATTAGGGAATAGGAAAAAATGGGACGAGAGACACATGCAGCATTTACCTGTGAAAACACAATGTTTTTTGCAGTTTGGAATAAGTTGCGAATTAGGGAATAGAAAAAAATGGGACGGGAAGCACAAAGGTTGCACTTACTTGTGAAAACACAATGTTTTGTGCACTTAGGAATATGTTGCGAATTAGGGAATAGAAAAAAATGGGACGGGAGACAGACAGGAGGCATTTACTTGTGAAAAACCAATGTTTTGCGCAGTTTGGAAGAAGATCAGCAGCATGCACATTGATGTTTCCACAACAGAGTTTGGAGACCAAAAGATGTGAAAACATCAGAGAGCGAGACGGTACCAACTGGGGTGTGCGGCATGCCGCACACCCCAGTTGGTACCGTAGATGGACGAAATATTCAAACCCCTTCTATCCGGTACAACCCCCTCGCCCCCAAAGTTCAATGTTATTGTAACCTGAAGTGCGTTAGCCCCAATGGACGAAAAAAATCAAACCCCTAACATCACTTTTGCTAACACGCGCGCTGAAACATTGAGATTTGGGGGTGCGGGGGTTCAACGTAGTGCGTGCTGCAGGGTTTGAATATTTTGTCCATCTACTGTAGTCTATATGACATGGCTGAATATATTCATGTATTCTTTAGTCATCTTCTCATTCTGAATTAGCATTTTCATGATGTCGCTGATTTTCATTGTGAATGAACTGATGATAAGATCGACAAACCAGCGATGATTTTTCACTGCGGTAACCGTTGGCCACCAGGAGCCGCTCGCCTCCGAACCAGCCGAAAAAACATCGACGGCAGCGGCCTCCGCCACGAAACCTGAAGACGGCTATCCCAAGGCGGGGATGTGTACCATTTTTTAGGGTAGAATCACACCCCAATAGCTGGTATATGGTACCCCTTGGTAAACTAACACAACTATGGAATATCACCATTTTTACTGGGAAAATCCACTATAAATGGCCATTTGCCATAGTTATGTTAGTTTACCGGAGGGTATATGGTATCCATAGAATGATGATATACCATAGAATCAAGATATATGATGATATATGGTGGTTTCCATACATACCCCAATAGCTGGATGGTTTATTTCATGGAAAATCCACCATTCAAATGGTAAATGGATGATAACTGGGGGGTACCCCCATGACTTAGGAAACCTCCATAAAGCCGACATATTCATAAATACATAACATATAAAGCACCAGTACCGAGTTGAGAATGCGATATTTGTCAGATGGTTGGGTGATTGTTGCCACTTTATGGGGACATTATGGGCATTTACTGTAATGGGATATATATATATATAAACAACGAACATGATATTTGAGTGGTTCAGGGGAATTCAAGTCTCATTTACGAGGGTATGTTTGAGAATGGGATGCGGCCATTGTAATAAGGACAATGATGATTTACCAATGGATTTAGGGGCAACCCATTTTCAGACAAATGATGTGGTTGATCGTTGGTTGATCGTTACGGAAGGGGGCTACCCTTCAACCAACCATTATTTGGTGGATCTTCCAATAGGCTTTTGAAACAGCTCCAACTGAGTTGGCAAGTCCTCCAATTCCTTTTGGGGCGAACAGTGATATTTTGTGTGATATCATTGTTCGACCCTCGCATTTTTGAATCCTGGTGTTCTGATCATGCTGATCTTGCTATTCTATTGATTATTTACAGCATGACGTATCTCATCACTATTCATTTTACATTGCTTTCCTATTGGTTTTCCAGTGGTTATCTACACTGCTCATGCTTGAGCTTCCGATTTTTTCGGGTACCACCTTAACGGCCAGTGACAAAATCAGGAGGCAGCTCCCTCAACGGCCAGCTCGGCGCGCCCGCGGGCCGAGAAGCGACAAGAGAGGAAGGCCAAGGTGGCCTTTTTGTGAACGGATGAGGCGATGAGGCGATGGTTTTAGGTATTGATATCATGGGAAAATCATAGGAAACTCATCTATAAATAGCATGAAGTTCCACGATAGAAAATTCCGGTAATAAAAAAAATAGGGATGATGATATTTAATGGAGATATTTCATGGGAGATATTTCATGATTTACGCTCTGGTTATTTGTTGCAGATTACTATTGAAAATCTCATTTTTTCAGAGGTAAATATAGTATATAGGCAATTCATCCATATACGGAGCATTTTCCATATTTATGTTAAATGGCCGGAGGGTATTGATATTGAAGATATTATTGCCACTATCGATACAATTGTTTTCTTAATTTTTACCATTGTCCTTCTTCTATCATCATACAATGATTCATGATTGTAAATATTGTTGTTATTTTCAAAGAATTATGATTTTGTAAATAGTTTAAGTACCAAACTAACTGATCATCATCATTATGACGATGATCTTTTTAATTCTTTTTACCCATTATGATATCAGTCATTTATTAGTCAGCCGTAGTCCCTATCTTATCCACCAGGTCATATCGTGTCATGGGGATTTGGGGATGGTACCCTCTGGTTATGTCAACATTGCGAACTGGAACATGGCCCATAGAAAGTTCGTGAGTTTTCCCATGAAAAACATGGTGATTTTCCAGTTCGTTTTTTGGGACGGTTTTTTTTTAATATAAATTACCATTCATAGTGGATTTTCCCATTGAAAATGGTGATTTTCCAGTTCGTTTTTTGGGACGTTTTTTTTAATATAAATTACCATTCATAGTGGATTTTCCCATTGAAAATGGTGATTTTCCAGTTCGTTTTTTGGGACTGTTTACCAGGCCGGGTAAACCCAAGGACGGCCAAGTTAGTGCACCCAGGGGTGATCCAGGCTGCGGCGAAGAAGAAAGGAAAGGCCGCTGTGGAGAAAGACCCCAGTCGTGACACCGGTGAAGATCAGGAGGCACGGCACGGCATGGAGTCGGGGCGCTACGGCTGGGTTCGCCCTTGGTAGGCGCCTTGGGGTTGATGTTAGGGATGGAACTGCCAGGCTCCAGGATTTGTTCTGTTAGCTTCATTTAGGGTAAACCTTAACCATATAGTCAAACCATATGGTTTGTAATAAGATTTACGATGTCAGTAGTACCCTCTGGTTATGACTAACATAGCCATGGTATAGATGGCCCATAGAAATAGATGGTTTACCGTTCTTTAAAATGGTGATTTTCCATGGCTATGTTAGTCAAAACCAGAGGGTAATATCAATACGATTACCCTCCAGTAAACAAACATATAGCAATGGAAAAAGGCCCATTAGTTCGATGCTTGTCTTCCAAAAAAAGAACACCCAAAGAAAAACGCGATACATCACCACTTTTCCAAATGAGTCCTAGAGTTAAATCCTACATATGGCCGAATTTTTACCGATGCTCTCATCATTTGTTTTTCCCTTCAAAAACCCGTGAAATCCTCCAAAAATTGGAGAATTCTTGACCATTACAACCCCATCCCCGATGTCGACTTCCTTGGGAGTTTCGGAGGCCATGAAGCTGCTGTGCCAGCAGCTGCTCACGGTGTGAGCTTCGCATCGCTTCGCATCGCCAGGCCACAATGCTAAGCCGCTAAGCTAATGGGTTTTTTGTTAGTGGAATACTGGTTGGTGGTGACTGGAACATGAATGGATAGTGGGGTTACTAACCTACCAAAATGCTTGTTTTATGGGATTTAATGGCTGGTTGGTGGTGACCATGGAATTTTGAATGACTTTCCCATCATGTTGGGAATTTCCATCCATCCCAACTGACGAGTTGTCCATCATTTTGAAAGAAGGGGTTGGTAGGTCAACCACCAACCAGAATATAAAACCCTTACCCTCTGGTAAACTAACATAGCAATGGAAAATCACCATTTTTAATGGGAAAATCCACAATAAATGGCAATTTTCAATAGCTATGTTAGTTTACCAGAGGGTAGCTATAATCAGAAGTTGGCTGATATACAACACCCAGTTTGGGATGTGGGGATGGTTATCACTCCATCTTTTATTTGGGACCAGTGCCTTTGCTTCAGGTGTTAAGACCTCTTCATGAGCTCAAAAACGTTTCGGGCCGCAAGACGAAGATTGTACAGCTCAGTGGCGTGTGCCAGCGGAACAGAAGGTGGAGGCATCTCACTTGTTTTGATGAAGCATTCAATCTGAGACCCTACCACATTAGAAGGCTGGGCAAGCGCTGACGGAAAAAACTGACTTGAGATGTTTGGCCAAGTTTGTCCACTTGAGATACAGTACTTGGGATGTATTTTGCATGCCCTGCCTAGAGTTTCCTTGGATTACGATCCTGCCACGATCCCTGAAGATTGTCACTGGTGTGCAGCTTTTGGAGCTGGGTTGTGCCCCCTTATCAATCTGAGGCAGATACCATTGGGATGTACGTGATGACCACCCAGGCTATTCACCATCTCAATTTGCATTGCTAGTGCTGCTAGTGGCGGCAAGAGTTCGTTTGCGTTCTTCCATGTTCTTCCCTTATTTTTGTTGATCATTTTTCCACCTTTTCCCCACCTTTTCCCCGCCTTTTCCCCGTCATGACGTTGATGTTAATGGCATGATTGACCTCGTGAAATCTGCCGGTTTGAAACGTTTCTGTCACGGCCGTTTTTGTGGGGTGATCGTTTCAAAACTAGGTCAATCTTACATGGATACTTTAATCATCTTTAATCCTTTAGTCTTTTGGTATTAATGGGAATATCTACTAACCAGCAAAGAATTTAATTTTTTGCAGGGTATCTAAGATTGGCAATGAAAAGGGCTCCGCCGAACATCGCCTGTCCGCAGCCATGTACAGAGCCACGCCGGTCAGAAGCTCGCGCCAGCAGTGCCGGACCCACGTGGACTCAGGATGCTCCTGAAACAATTTCACCATGAAGAAATATGAAGGATGATTAGGACAGGAAAAGCATCAATTTCATGCTGGTGTATATCCGATTTGGGATCATCATGCAGTGCGAGTAGGCCATAGTAGGTCATAGTAGGCCATTGACCATCCCCTACCTCGTTTCACGTGACCAAAAAGCTGGGGGTGTTGTGTCGGGAACAGCTGGGAACTGAGCTATCAAAAATGGTGATATTGATATATATATATATTGGTTGTGTATTTTGATGGGAACACAACTTTTTAGTATTGTTGGGACAACTTTTAACTTTTGACACGTAGCACTTTACAAATATGATTCCAGCTTGCAAGTGAATTTCAGGGGACGATCTCTGGTAAACTCTGGTTTTTTCTGTCCTTTAAAAACGAACTGGAACATCACCATGCGATTAGAACATGGGACAAAGTCACCAACTTTCGTCAAAATGACCATTTTCAATAGCAAACTATTGACATAACCAGAGGGTAAATCCCATCTAGAAATCACCATTTTTGTTGATTAGATCCCATTAAACCACCATTAGACCACCATTAAACCACTATTAAACCACCATTAAACCACCATGTTTGACATAACCAGAGGGTCAACGGTGGGCTCATGGTTCAAAGCAACCCCCCTGATTCGGCATATCCCATCTCTACCAGCAAACTAACCATGGTTACCAGCGATGATGGGGGAAATGTCGATGTTTTCGATGTTTGATGCTTATGAAATCTTATGAATAGTGAATAGTGGTGTTTGAAGTTTTTTTTTTTTTTTTTTAAATACATTAATACATAGTTTGATATACCCTGTGAGCATTCTGTTTCTACCCAACTTTACTTGTTTACCTAAGTATCATGCTAAGAAAGCACAAGCTCACAAGGACCACACGGGAAATCATGGTGAGAGGCAAGGTCCCAAGGTTTCGAGTTTCACAATATTATGCTGGTAATCCTAGAAGAAACTACATTACCCTCTGGTTATTTAACATAGCCATGGGAAATGGTCCATTTATAGATGGTTTACCTATTAAAAATGGCGATTTTCCATGGCTATGTTAAATAACCAGATGGTATATATCAACATTTTTCAGGGAAAAAATCCCATAAAACCCTTCATTTTTTTTGGCACGTTCAGTCAGCCTGGCAGGCTGGCAGCCTGGCTTCACAACAAGTGGCCGAGCTGCATGTCCCGGGGCCCAGTCTTTGAATGGGGGTATGGTATGAAGATCAACTTACCATCTGGTTATGACATTCACAGTTTGCCATGGAAAATCACCATGCTATTAAGAACGGTAAACCATCTATTTCGATTAGGGCCATCTATGCCATGGCTATGTTAGTCATAACCGGAGGGTAACTATTTGTGTATGGGGAATATATCACAATCAACAAGCAACTGGTGGAGGGAGCTCGCCGGAGCTAGATGTGGGAGGGGGGCATTTTCGTTGACATGTTCGAATAAATGTTCAGCAAAGTGGTGCAGCCAATATGAGGATATAAAATGATATAGAGAAGTATGCTGGTGACTTTTTTGGCGCAGGCATTCCCATGAGATCTCCGGTGATCTTCCGTGTTTGTTGATAATTTGTTGATGTTCGACCGGTGGGTTCAATCTTCCTCGCTTGAAAAGATGACTGGTGACTCGGTACCAGGACGATTAGCGTCATGAATTGTTTCCCACCTCCATGAAGGCCTATCCTTCCCATGAAAATCGTAAACAGTTGTTGGATCAAATTCCATCAAATTACAACTGGCAGTTTTATTATGGGGATTACCAGGTTAATTATTATAGATATTTCCATCAATGCCACAATATCTACCCTCTGGTTATGACTAACATAGCCATGGTATAGATGGCCCATAGAAATAGATGGTTTACCGTTCTTAATAGCATGGTGATTTTCCATGGCAAACTGTGAATGTCATAACCAGTTTTTTCCATGGCAAACTGTGAATGTCACAACCAGATGGCACATTATTTATTACTTTGCTTGGCAATTTTGAACGGGAACCGCTGGGCCGGGATCCAACTGAATCCGCCAGTGGCGCCATGCTTCAGCCGAGAAGAGATTCCAAGTTCCATGAGTTCCATGGTTTTTAAGGGCTGCCAGTGACTTCTTCAGTGAAAAATCCCTTGGATTTTGACGAAGATTTTTGCATCGCACAGATTCACCATTTCTGTTGAAGTTAAACCGCTCACATTTTAAGCATCATCTTTGATTAAATCACCACCATGGTTGAAACGGATGTTTTTCAACATCCCAATTTCCCATAGTTTTTTTTATCACAAATTGTCAATTCGTCAATTCCCAATTTCGGATTCCTAAATCCACATGATCATTTTTGATGGTTGCATCTGCATGTTTGATGGTTTTTGATGCTTAAAACCCAAAAAATATGTCAAGGTCAAAAGCCAAATTTATGTCCCATTAATAATCGCAGTTAAATCATGTTAAATCCACATTGTTTGATTCTTCAAGCCATATCTGGTTGGTGGTTTCAAACATGGCTTTTATTTTCCCTTTCATATATGGGATGTCATCCTTCCCACTGACGAACTCATATTTTTCAAGATGGTTAAAACCACCAACCAGGTTATCATTAACCATCATTAACCATATATTAACCATATATTAACCATATATTAACCATACATTAACCATATATTAACCATATATTAACCATACATTAACCATACATTAACCATACATTAACCATACATTAACCATATATTAACCATATATATATATATATTAACCATATATTAACCACATATTAACCACCACCCCCATAAATTTTTCGATCCGAACATCTCGTGACATCGTGACGTTTTCGTTGCCAGGACCTGGGTCGTTTGTTGTTCGAGCTGCTGCTTCCGTCCTCGGAGGCCGCGAAGGCGGCAGTGCAGGCGGCCAAGCAGTTGGAGGCCCTGGAAGCCGTGAGGCGGGGTTGAGCTTTGGGACATGGTAAGATGAGTGAACTAATCATCTGGAAATGGTGGTTTAATGGGATTTTTAATTGTGGTTTAATGGGATCTAATGGGATTTAATAGGATTTACCCCTCTGGTAAACGTTTACATAGCGAACTGGAAAATCACCATGCTATTAATGGGTAAATCCACTATAAATGGCCATTTTCAATAGCTATGTTAATTTACTGGAGGGTAATTATCTGGAAATAAAATGAAATAAACATGTTTAGATTATATCAGTATAAAGAAGTATAATGATATCTTAAGAATGGTAGGTTGAACTAATGAAGAACGTGTTTTGCCCATATTTTTAGGTTAATAACCAGGTTAAGCCAGATTAAGATTGGTTATGTGATAATAGCTTTCTCAGAATTGCAGTGAATAGAATCATTTTTTTTGCTGAACAGACGCTGCCAGCATGTGCACTTCACTCGCCAGCTAAAGTTAAGTCGACATTCTTCTGGAGGCTATCTAAGGTGGGCCATTCAAAGATAGAACTGGGCGGAGTTGTTCTGCACTTCGGAAAGGCATCATTCGGTTGGCAAGAGGAACCCCAAAGAATGAGGAATGGCTATCATCTAGGATTTGAATTCCAGAATTTCCAGTTTTATAGATATAGATGATGTAGATGTATAGTATCAACTGTTCGAGCACTATACTATAGAAATCTATAGATATGTCTGTCTACCATGCGGTTATTTAACATAGCTATAGAAAATCCATTCTAAATGGAGGTTTGTAGCTGGGAAATCATCTGTTTCTATGGGCCATTTTCCATAGCTATGTGAAATAATAACCAGCGGGTATCTATTCCAAATCTGATCGATTTTAGCGACAACTCGACGCACCCAACGCACCTCTCGACAGGGTAAATGCCCACCCTGGCTGGACATGAATTAATGAGTGAAAAGATGTGTAAATAACCAAGTACGAGTGTACATGCATACAAAGACACTGGTTAAATCAGGGAAACACACACACACACGCATATGTATGTGTATGAATGTATATATATATATACATAATATAATATATATATATATATATATTTTTGCTCTTGTTAGGCCGCAGCGTACCGCTTCCATGTGCCTGTAGCAAAAACAATATACGCACAAAGATAAAACATGATAAAACCATGATAAAACTATGATAAAACCATAGTAAATCCATGATAAAACCATGATAAAATATGATAAAACCATGATAAAACCAAAGATTCATAGATGGTGCACTATCATGGTGCACAAATCTTCATCCATAGATTCATAGTGCATCACCACGGAGGCCGGCGGAGCTTTTCCAACGCCTGGGCGTCCCCGGCTGCGACGCCTCCGCCGCGTGGCCGCAGGCGGCGGCGCACGACGCGGCGGTCACGGCGCTGCAGTGCGTCCTGGCTGAGGCGGCGGGGACGCAGCCGCCGCCGGGGATGACCAATGTGGCAGGACCCGGAAAACCCCGGGGGACCCCGGGATGGGGAACCGGTTGGGATATGGTGGGTTTATATAGATTAATGTATATATATATAGATTTTATAATAGATCTATTATAGATGTTCTATACTAGTTGAATCAGTTGATGATGATTTTATAACTTTCCAGTATTCAGTATTCACAAATATTGAGCCTGGAAATCCTAGTTCAGGACTAGATTTGTTGTGTTTGGGGCTCCAAGAAAGTTTTGGGAGGTTCGTACAATAACTATGACTAGTATCAGGGAGATGGGTGTGCGTTCAGGATTCCATTTACAACTGACATATGGTTGCACACCAATTTTTGCCAATGGCTCTGTGCCTCAACCGCCTCCCGGACGTTTTCCGCATTGCGATGCATCGCAGGCATGCTGTTGCATCAGTGCCAGCGCTCCAGACATGTGGAAGGCGCCTCCTTTAGCGGCATCGAAGTGGCCTTTGAGACTTGACGGAAGCAGCGGAGAATGGGGAAGATGTTCTTTCAGCATTGCGAGATGACAGGGAAACTATCTGTTTTTGTGGGTTTATGTACCCACTTTGTTATGATTGAAGTACCATGTGCCCCCATTTCTGCTAATTGACGTTCCTGTCAGTCCCAATTTTTGGTTGGTTTGAAGCTCCAATTCTTGATGCTGTCCGGATATGTGGCATGAGATACATGCCTCCTTGTTGCTTTAAACTTGCGTCGCTGTGGTCAGAATCGTTTGGTTCATATCCTCGCTGGTGAAATATTCCCCATTTTTTATCAATGTTTTTGGTTCAAAATCCGCGTGGACTCGCGGACCACGCGATCTCAGCACATTTTAGGTATTTGCAGCTGAGTGAGTCACATCCCCAAATTTTGCCGGTGAACATCTCCGCATTTGGCTGATTATTGTCCTCTGTTTTGGTTGCAAGTTATCTATATATATATATCTATATGTATATATATATATGATTATGTAATATATGCTTATATATTATACATACATACATATATATATATATTTAATATTATTTAATCTAATGTGCACACACACATATATATATATATATGTTATAGAATGTTCCCAGTTGTACAACTAGCCCCAGTTGTATAGTTGCAGGACTATAGATGGGCTGCAAACCACTTAACAATTGATGTAGCCCATTGATTGGTGGTGATTCAACCAATCCCCTCTTTGAGGTGGCCCTCATGATAGCTGGTCAGCCCTTATTAGTGGTTGTTGGCGGCTAATAAGTACTTACAAAACCCTTACTGTAATTGTTGGAGGGTGACCATCATTTTGTTGACTTCACCATGGGTTTCCCCAAGCACTGCACTTCTGATTGGTAAACCCTATAGATCGATGGAGTTCACATACCCATCCGCGATCTTCCCATTTTGAACCATTGGAAACTTGCAGCTTTCTCCATCCCAGCTGCAAAACCAGAACCCCCTTTTGAATTTGGGAGTAACAACTATGATGCCACCTGATTTCCCAACAAAACCCATGGGATTTCTTGCAGAATCTTGCAGGATTGCAGCTTTTCGAGCCAGTTGGACGTTCAGTCGCTGTCCGTGGAGCGTCGCTTCTGGCGCTTTCCACCGATGGCCGTGGGCCATGCGCTGGGCCCCTGGCCGGTGGGGCGGCAGCACCAGGTGGAGCTCTTCGTGTCGTGGCGGCAGGATGCGGCAGGGTGGTGGGAACCTAGGGGAAACCAAGGAAACATAATATGAAACTAAGCAAACAGAGGATCAGAATCATCTATATTTGGATATTCAATAGGGATTTTGTGGAGATATTAAGTGATATAATGAGATTTATATCTGGTTGGTGGTTTGGAACATGAATTTTATGACTTTCCATATGCTGGGAATAATCATCCCAACTGACTAATATTTTTCAGAGGGGTAGGTATACCACCAACCAGATGGGAATTTGGATGACTCTTGGTGAAGTTACATAGGTTTTTTGACACCAGAGATGTGTTTAAGCGAAGATTGGCATTTGAGCCAAATAACGACGACCGTAACGAGAATGCCTTGGTGCAACCAACCCACAGCCGAGACATGAACAGCCAATGACAAGCATCTCATGTATCCAACAGTGGTAAATAAAATGTTTGCATCCAAACAATGTAGTTTTATGACTACAGTAGTAATGTCAGTCATTTGTCTTGGAAATCCAATCAAACATTTGGGGAGTTTGAAGCCCGCTACGATTTTGGGATGTAAATAGATGTGATACGCGACTGTTTGTTCACACCAAAAGAGGGCAGGCTTCCAGAGACTGCACTATCAGTCAGCCCATCTTTGAAGACTAGCACCCCTTGCTGGGCATGTAATAAATCCTCGGCAAAGGCCGGAAGGCCGTCCTCAAACATGCTTGGACCCTTGTACCGGGACTGATTTCGCAAGTTGCCCATGCAAATGCATGGAGAGAGGTAGAAGGGTTCTTGCATCTCGCTCAAATCTGACACTTAGAGATGGTCACGCAGCATGTAATCGTACACATTCTTTTAAATTGAACATTGAAACAATAACATTTCTTCCACTTGTCTATATATGTATATGGATGTGTATCCCTCATTTCTCATTGATCTTGCAAACATCTTCAATGGCCCATGGAGGTACGCCAGGTACGCAGTAGCAGAGTAGCAGATTTCATGAGGTGACTGAAAAAGGTACCATCTGGTTATTTAACATAGCCATGGAAAATCACCATTTTTAATAGGTAAACCATGTATAAATGGGCCATTTTCCATGGCTATGTTAAAAAAACCGGAGGGTAGTACTTTTGGGGCTAGAACTTGCACAGACCTTGGCTGAGATACCCTTGCAATGTAGGCATGTGACTTTCCGCCGACCCACCTCCCAGGTGCAACTTGTGCCGGATCGGAGGTTATGCTCCAGTGCTTCGGCTGAGTGTTTTTTGGAGTTTTAACGAGTAACACAAATGGCATTAACCAGAGAAAGATGGAGAATTGGCAAATCTCAGTTCAAGCAGCAAGCAACAGAGTGCAAGCGTTTCGGAACCATGACCTGATTGATGGCTGTGTCGAGATGTCAACGTAATGTGCCACAGTACAGTTTGAAACACATGGAGCTTGATGTTCATCACAGCTTGGTTGAGTAGAATAGCCCGAATCATTTGACTTGAGACGATATATATATATATATACATATATATATATAGGTATTATATAACTGTATACACACATAGATATACATATCAAATCATATACGTATATATATATATATACACATTATACATAATTATACATATATGCACATGTGTATGTATGTGTGTGCATATTTATATATATATATATGTGTGTGTGTACTTAATTAGCTCATAGATTTCTTTACAGCCGGGCTTCCGTGAAAACAGCCCGGGGTGCCACCGAGGCATTGGTCGAACCCACTTTGAGCTTTGGCCCCTGCAAGATGCGTATCGCGAAGGCAGTTGGTTCTGGCGAACCGAAAAGATGCTTGGCGGGAAAGGGTGGATTTTAAGCACCAATAAATGGTGGGGGATATCATCAATGAGCAAACCCGCCATAATTAAAATCCAAAGATAGAACAGATTGGTAGCACTTTATGTTTAAAACTTTTCTTGGGTTGCTATGTTTGTACTATCTTGTACTTGCCGAATTGTTCTTTTCGATCCCCAGGTAAGCTGGATTCGGAAGGGGGAAGTCGTCTATAAATGCGCTTTACATTGCCATGACTACAGATAGATTTCGGAAATAGTGATTTTCATCGTATTTTAAAAATGACCATACTTTGTTCTGCCCAGCTTGCGTGTCCCATTTTGATAATCTCTCCTTACGCCTTACACTTCCCCCGCCCAGATCGCATTGATACATCCAAGGCAGGCCTTGCGCTTGGTGCCGCTGTCACAGAATCCCATCCTCGTGGATGGCAAGAAAGTTGCATACCCGCCGCGGGGCCCGGCCCTAACCGTGGTTTGCAAGTGGATTGTATCCTCAAATTTTGCCTGGATTTGGTGGCATATGGCATATGGGCCAAAAGTTGGATTGTATAATCATATTGTAGGATGGTCGTAGATCCATTATCCATTAATTAGATTTAATTAGTAAAGATAAAAATTACCAGTACGGGATGGATGACCATAGACATCCACAGACCATATTACAATCTCGTTTGACCCTGGCTGCCTGGCTGATATAAACATAATCCCTTCCCCATATAGCAAAGGTCCTCACAAAACAATGATCAAGTATTGAATCTCTTCAGGGCTTGGGGTGCCCCAAAATTGGGGGGATTTCTTCAATTTTCCTCAGCCCTGCCACAAGTCAGTCCTGAGTCCGAGGTCGGAAGAGGAAGTTTTGATCTTCGATGGATCCAAAGTGAGTGGCTTGACGCAATCCATCGCGGGGGAAAGGCCCCCAACATCTTGGTTTATGTATAGCCAGGTTGCTTCCTAAATGGCAAATGGGGATACCAATTGGGATATAGAAAGATCACCCGTAAGAGTTCTCGTATGTCAGCTCCAACCCGGTGGATTCATATCAGGCCCCAACAGTTGTGATTTGTGCATGGTGCCCAGCTTTTTTCACAGCCAAGAGTCAGCCGTAGTAAGTCGATCTCTACTCCATCAGGCAGCGGATTTTCCGTTTTCAATTGGTGAGTGGACGAAGTTCATCTATCCGCACAATCTACTTATGCTGGATAATCTTCTAAAATAGCAACTGGATACTATGGGGTCGATAATAGTCAGTTGCCACACCCCATCATTTGGCAACAAAAGCGTAAAATAGCATAAACAGCCATCAACCAGCATCAAAAAGAGATTGTTTCATCCCCCTTTCGTTGGTTAAATCCTTAGCTACACTCCATCAAAACATAGATTTGATGGAGTAAGAATGGTCAATTTTCTTGACAGATGGCTAGCCTGTAAGCGTGAAGTGTATTTGTCAATGATTGTCAATCTATACTACTTATATGTATGCACATATGCACGTGAACACACACACATACATATATATATATATAAATAAATAAGCAAAATATAATCTATATGTATATAATTGATTATAATTGTATATAATTGTATATATGCATGCCTATACATATGCATATTTTTCAACCTGTGCATCTATTATCTACCTCTCGTCTGAGGCTTCAGCTTCCAAGACGAGGTACGGGGCTTCCTCCCGCGAGACGTGTGCTTTTGGGACAGCAAGATGTACTGTATGGTCACCGTGTACGGCATGAAGGACATGAATATGATTGTAGTCTTAGTTATATATAATAAATAAATAAATAAATATATATATACACACTACTTTGAAGGAGATGAATATGATTGTAGTTATACATATATATATACACTGGTTGAATTATCCACATGTTCTTGTACATATGGATATCATGGAGTTAGGAAAGAATCAACATGTCTTGTTTGGAGTATCATTGACCTTGTTGATTGCGCATGTGTTTCTTTCGAAGACTTCCACAGTTTCGGTGACTGAATTATAATCTTCCCTATGCATTTTCCCATGTTAGTTCTTGATTGTATGTTTTTTCTATTGTTCATTTCGTCATTCAGGGCCCTAACGTTTGGTTTGAGCAATTGTTTTACCCCCCAGCGGCACCAACAAGAAGCAAACAAACAGTTGGTTGATGATTGCTGGGGGTAATTCCTGAATTTTCATGGGTAAATCACGATTTTTGCGGGTTACTGTAAAATTAAATATACTAACCGATGGCAATAAATCCCATAGATGTCCTTTTCCCACTGGCTGGGGAACAGAGGAATCTACTGACCCTTTGCAAGCAATAGGTCAGTAATGGCCCGGCCCTTGTATGAGAAATACCCTCTGGTAATTTAACATAGCTATTGAAAATGGTCATTTATAGTTGATTTTCCCATTAATAATGGTGATTTTCCATAGCTATGTTAGTTTACCAGAGGGTACTGAATATGGGCTTCCAGTTAGTTTTTGACACTGCTCGGATTTTTCTTTTGCCATGTGAAAGTCCATGGTCATTGGCTCTTTAAGTGACAACATGAATTGCCAGGGTTTTGAACTGGTTGAATTCCCTAATTTGTGATAGTTTTTCACCGGCATTTGGCTGGTGAAACCGCCGTTCCTGGTGGGAAAACTACCATTCTCCCATCATTTCATCATTTCTATAGAGTCAGCTCCAAGAAATACCATCATTTCACTACCATTTTACCATTTTACCATCATTTTACCATCATTTTACCATCATTTCTATATGTTTGTTAGTAAAACCCCACTGTTTCTATCCATTTTCTGCCCAAATTCCAGATTTTCTGCTGGTCGACTCTAGCCAGGTCTTCCTGACCCTTCAATTCCTCCTGGGCCCAAGCATCGAAGCCGCCATGGCGCGAGCCAAGTCGGAGGGAGCCGCAGAGCCTAAGGAGAGCTGCTCGGATTTCACCGGATGGGATTTCACCGGGAAAACGATGAGTAAAACTTGGCTTTCACCGATATTGATTTCAATTGATGACATAGGTACAGTAGATATCAGTAGATGACCAGAGATGATGGGATAATCGTTTTAACCGTGGTTGATTTTTTTTGGGGGATACTGGTGATGTGATTTAACAAGCACTGTACTGGGCCCAATGCTCATGATGTTGGAGCAATCCCCTAGGTCCGGTGGCCAGCTATGTCTTGCAATGCGAGGAGCTTTTAGGTGCGGATTGGCTGATCTGGCCATGGGGTAACTGGCAATTTTTCATCTGGGAAATGGGAAGATCATGAATCACCACTGGGATTACTGTACCAATAATGGGGTATATTTTGGATGATAATGGGGGAATAAGAACCAATATATATATATATATATGAGATACAGTCAAAGTAAGCGTAGACTACTTCAGCAGGGGAGGGTCCAGTCGTGTTGAGAAAGTGCACCAAACCATTGAAAGCGATAGGACCCCCCAAAAAAACGATAACTTGTAACCATATGAGAGTGCATTGAACTTGGTGTAAACCAAGCAAGTATTGTTGCGTGCCTTCACGCGATAGGCAAAATTGATGAAAAAGATTCAACCTGCAGTGCCCACGTTTCTTCCAGTTGCCATATCATTTGTTGTCCAATTCGAATTTCGACTTTCGTTGTTTCCTTTTCTTTTTCTTTCCTTCTCTTTTCCTTTTAAAGCTAAATGCAATTGAATTCTGAACTAAATCAAGTTTGATTTTGATTCAATGCTGAATTCCATTTATTCCAGTTTATTTCCTTTTTGTTTGATTTGTCCTTTCTTCTTCCTTCGTTTCCTTTTCTTGTTCCTTCCTTTCGTTTTCCTTTTATTTTTTCAATTGTCCTTTTGTTCCACGTTCCTCTTTCGTTTCCTTTCTTGATCATCAAAGTGTTCTAATTTAGCGATAACCTTTTGTTGAAAAAGGGACCCGGACGAGGGATAGACTGATTTGATCCCAACAAGAAGAAGGCTCAACAAAAAAGTGAACAGGTTCTCAACACTAGGCCATCAGGTTGTTTTGAGACTTGGGGAGCCTAGTGCACTTCTTCATAGCTACAAACGCTTCTCTATTGAAACGATGAGGTCCCAGCTTCAATTTCTGAAGCTTTTGAGCAGGGACGTGTGGCGTTTTCTGACGCCATGACTTAATCAAACAGGGACAAGGGCGAGGTGACCCTTTTTTGTTTTCAGAAATAGTGATCTTATAACCGTTGGGAACCATTGATCTTGATTACTGTCTTTCTAGTTTGGAGTTTTATTTTGTAACGCATATCCTCTCTTAGGAAAGAATTAGGAACGTGCTTAGATAGCTCCCCAACACGGTTGCAAACGCGCTTAGACAACGAGCGCCCCTTAATCCACCGCCGGCAGTAAAGCGATAGGCCCCCCCCCAAAACCGATAGCTTATATTTTTAACCAGGCGTAAACAATTGATTTTGACGGCGACTCATATATATATATACGCGTATATATGCCAAGGAGCTAGCAGCTAATCAATATAACATTAGTTAGGAAAACAGGATGATCTCTTGGGACTTAAGAGTCGACAATGGAGATTATCACGAAAGCTAGCGTCAGCTAGCTGGAGTCTTCTTGCTTTAGCAAGTATTCCGGGGGCTGCTCAAGGACATCACAAATTTTTCACGCGAAAGGCCCCCCCCCCACCACCATCACCATCATCAGCATCATCAGCATCATCGTCATCATCGTCATCATCGTCATCGTCATCGTCATCGGTTTCGTCATCGTCATCGTCATTGGCATCGTTCTCGTCATCGGGATCATCATCATCATCATCATCATCTCCTCCTCCTCCTTATCATCCTCCTCCTCATCATCATCCTGATCATCTGCCGCATCCGCTTCATCATCATTATCATCATCATCGTCATCACCATCATCATCGTCATCATCACCATCATCATCGTCATCATCAACATCATCATCACCATCATCATCATCATCATCATCATCATGAGCATCATCATCACCATCATCATCATCATCACCATCATCATCATCATCGTCATCATCATCATCATCATCGTCATCATCATCACCATCATCATCATCATCATCATCATCATCACCATCGTCATTGTCAGTGTCATTGTCTTCGCCATTGTCATCGTCATCGTCATTGTCATCGTCACCGTCATTGTCATTTTCAGCCGTCATCGTCGTTGTCAGCGTCAGCGTCATTGTCATTGTCATCAACTTTGTTATCATCATCATCACCATCATCATCATCATCATCATCATCATCCTCATCCTCATCATCATCATCACCATCCTCATCGTCATCATCGGCATCAGGTTCGATCCCCCTGGTCCCCCCACGAGCTTCCCGAGAGGAGACTTCCGACTGGTAGAGGGTCAGCATCCTCACTTTCATCTTCATCCCATTGATGCCCGCTGAAACATGCCGCAGCTGCTCAGCAACAAAAACAAGGTGGTGAACAAAGAGATTTGGATAGGCATCCTCTCTCATGAGATCTGGTTGAGTTTCCAGTTTCTCACACTACCATAGGACCGTAGGGTTTGGTTGGATTTGCAGAAACATGTTCCACCAATGTGCAAAGGTCAACGATCCTCCTCGGGGTTTTGACTTTGTCGTTTGATGGGGAAAGGGAAGAAGCCATGTCACCGGAAGAAGCCATGTCACCGGCAACGAGCCGCTAGGCAGCAGGAAAGTATTAGGCAAGAGCAATGTTTTTTTGGGGCCAAAGGCGGAGAGGTGGAAAGTTGCATTGTCATGTTTTTTTTGGCCAAGGATGAACAACGTTTTGGACATTTCTTGGTCCATGCTCGCTTCCGGAATCTGATGTGTTGTGCCTGCATCGTTTGTGTTTCACATTGTACATTGATTGGCATTCCTGGGCTCTACGGACAGACTACTACTCATATGGATTCATCGTCTGCGAGTCGTAGAGTTGTCGGCGCAAGCATGGATTTGCCTCGGAATCTCGGGCCGCGGACCGCGACCTGCCTCCGCTTACTTTTTGGCAAAGCGTCCGAAGCCCAGCCTCTTAGTTTCATTTAGTTGCTCCTCCAGATGTTGCCAGCTTTTTTTTTCCCAGTTTTTCGCTCAGGGTCGTGGCCGCAATTCAAGCCGAACAACGTCTCCTCGGCACTCCCGAGGCGTCTCCAGGGGCGTCCCTGCCTCTTTTTTTTCATTTCTTCTTCTTTTGTTTTCAACCACTGCCGCACGGCGTGATGAACACTGCGGAAGTGCGCGGCTGGCTCTGTAAGGTCCAGCAGATCCTGCAGACACTTGTCTGCCTCCTCACCTAAGTTGACTGCATGTGTTTGTTTCCTTCCTGGCCGCTTTTCCCTTTCTCCTCAGGATTTGGCAAGTGGATGCCCCATGATTGGATGTCTTTCCTAGCCAATGCACAAGTTTGGTATACATAGTTTTACTGGCTAAACCTTCATGTAGTGTGTAGTGTAGTTTAGTGTAGTGGTGGTGTAGTATGGTGAAGCGGAGTGTAGTGTAGCGTAGTGGAGTTGTAGTTGTAGTTGTCTTGTAGTGCAGTTGTAGCTGTAGCTGTAGTTGATGTTGTTGTAGTTGTAGTTGTAGCTGCAGTAAAAGTTGTTCTTGCAGTTGTAGTTGTAGTTGTAGTGGTAGTGTAATGTGGTGAAGTGGTTTAGTGTAGTGTAGTGGGGTTGTCGTTGTAGTTGTAGCTGTCGTTACAGTTGGTAGTTGGCGAGCCTACTTTTCGACCCTCTGGAGCCCCAAACCATTGGAAAAACACAGTGTTTCGTTATTCTTCTACCTTTTCGCGCACCTACATCTTCTTTCTTCTGACTGCTGACTCTTTCTCTTTTCTGTCTTCTCCGGTCTTCTTGCTTCTTCTCTTCTTTTCTCTTCTTTTCTCTTCTCTTCTCTGCATGGCTCTTCCCACCTCTGCTTTTTCATCTGCCCATATTGTCGGAAGTTTGACTTCTAAAATTCCTTCAAGTGTACATAGAAACTCCAAAGGCGAACAAAAGTGCCTCAGGCCCCTGAGGCCAAAAAACTCCGCATGGGTTTTGCTGGTGGGTTAAAAATGCCTCTTGGAAAGCTAACAACACCTCAAGCACAAGTTTTTACCAAAGCATTTGGGCTCTCCATGACCAATTTTGCAGTTGCAAAGCTCACAGCTAGGGACCAAACCCCTGACAAACAGCCACACATACGGCTAAGGATTTCCCTATGTAAGAAACGCTGCAAGAAAAGCAATGCAGAAAACAAGCCCTACAGTGCAGCATATGTTTTCACAGTTGCACTGTTCAAGCGTTTGCTTTCATCGACATTGAGTGACTTGGGTTGCCGCTTTCAACAAAGTTTGACAAGACGAATAAAAGCTAGAAGAATCGCAAAATCCGTGATAAAAGCTTTTGGACATGTTTCCGGCTAGATTTGGACCTCAATTTTCAGAGTCCGTCCTTTTTCGCCGTTTTCCCGCCCTTTTCCGCCGTTTTCTGTCCTTTGAATTTCCTATTTTTCCATGTTTTCCCTAGTTTACCTTTGTTCTTTTCATGGCAACAATTTTTGTTGTATATATATACTTGAAGTAAACTTCACTCATTTCCCAAATTTGCATGGGAGGTGCCAAATAACTGCGTTGTTTGCACCTGCATTGGCTCGGTGTCAAAACCAGAGCCCAAGGGATACCGCAAGCGATGGGAAGAGCAAAGGCAAAAGCGGAAGCAGCAAGAAGCCCGAATCCAAGAGAGGCTGGAGGCGCCGTGGAGGATCAAAGAAATGTGTGAGCTCCAGGACCAAGTTCCGGCTGCGTTGCTCTAGGGGGCGGTGATTATGACGGTGACCTCGGGCCTCCCGTTCTACCGGTTCAGGCGTCTTCGCCAGCGGTGCCATTTACACCGCCTTCACCGACATCGCCAGCCTCGCCCACCTCCCCCGTGGCACCGCCTTCCCCCGAGCCTTTGACGCCGATGTCCCCAGCGTCGCCCAACTCCCCGGCTGAAGAGCCGTGCCACCTATGGGATGAGGCGGCCATCCATTCAGATGCGCCAACCTACCCAGCACCCACACCCGCGAAGCGGCGCATTGGAAAGGTGGACGACTCAGAGAGGAGCCGGCAGCATGCTCTGCTTGTGATTTGGGCAAGTTCCAGGTGTTGAAAATATCAACGACAGTATTATTCTGTTTTATTGAGCGTGAATTTTCGATTTGTGTGACAAGCCCTTGGGTCTAAATGCAGGATGCTCAGCATGGACTGGTGCGCTGTGATCCCCGACATCTTGGAGGATTCACGCCTAAAGCGGGAGCTGCAATGCAACATTTTGCTCAGCGTTGATTGGGGCATGAAAGGCGCCAAGCCCTCAATCATGAGCCTTTACAGCAGCACCCGCGTTGAGGATGTTCACCTCTGACCTTGCCCTTTAATTTAGAAATCATGCATGGCGGCCGCGACCTGCCTGAATTCGTCGCTGCGCGCGCGGAGATCGAACGGCATGTAAAAAGGGTACAGCTGACGCCGTCGCCACTTACAACCATTCCGCAGTACAAGCGTGTACAGGCATCATTGCTTGACAACTCCAGCGCCGCAATTTCGGGGCTTCCTCGCTGCGATGGCAGCAGAGAAGGATAGATAGACAGACAGACAGACAGAGAGATAGATAGATAGATAGATAGATGGATTGATGGAAAGATGGAGAGATGGATAGATGGATAGATGGATAGATGGATAGATGGATAGATGGATAGATGGATAGATGGATAGAGTTGATAGAGTTAATAGAGTTGATAGAGTTGATAGAGTTGATAGAGTTGATAGAGTTGATAGAGTTGATAGATGGATAGAGTTGATAGATTCGATAGAGTTGATAGAGTTGACAGATGGATAGAGTTGATAGATGGATAGATGGATAGATGGACAGAAGGATAGATGGATAGACGGATAGATGGATAGATGGATAGATAGATTAGATAGATGGATGGATGGATGGATGGATGGATGGATGGATAGATGGATAGATAGATAGATGGACGGATGGATAGATAGATAGATAGATAACTAGATCTGTAGATAGGTAGATAGGTGGATAGGGCGATAGGTAGATAGATGTGTTGGTTGATAGATTGAAAAGCGGTGAATAGATACATGGAAAGGGGACAAAATCTCCACCCTTTAAAAAATGTAAGTTTAAGGGATGGGAGGGAGTTTTTTTTCTCATACAGTTTGACTCAGCAGCATTTATTGTATGAACTTATTCCTGTGGAATTTTGGAAGGTGGTCTAAAAAGGTGGGGTATGCCCCCAATACATTTTCAGTATTTGGCTTCAAAAACTTAATAAAAAATGGGGAGCCGGTTTAAGACATGTAGTTGCAAGGCCATAGATCTTTGATGATATGGGGTTTCCCAGGGGAACCGTACCAAATAACACAACAGTTTCGAGGCCCCTCCCCCTGAAATCGGAATTTGCGTCTGCGCCTGACCAGTGGGCCAACAGCAGTTTCATATTGCACTTTCATTTTGCATGAAGGTTGTTGCTCAGCCTCATTTATTTTTCGGTGCAGTTTTCAACAATTTCAACGGGCTAAGCGGCATTGAAAGGATGTTTTTTTTGAGGGGGCCCTGTGTTTAGCTTTCAAGTATTTCCCGCGATCCTTTGCATGTTTGCTTCGAAATTCACCGCAACACAAACCGAACCTCAAAGCTTCGTGGAAAACAGTGCAAATGTCGACGGAGTGGAGCAGACAACGGCCCATGGATGTACCATGATGTATCCCGGCATCCCTTTTTTCGATTGTTTTTGTGGTTCAAACAGCACCCACCCCTTACTTTTATACATTTGCAATGCTTAAACACAAACCACATAGTCCACCCTAGATTTTATACATGTGCCATCGCCTCATGTGATTCTGATTAGTTCAGTTGAAGATAGTGATAGTCCCCCTATGTTTCATACATTGTAAAATTCCTTGCTTGCCATGAATCGAGGGTTCATAGTAGCAGCTCGCCGCCGAAAGGAATACGTTTCTGGGGTTTGCCAAATATTGATTTGTTCTGCTACAGGGCAGGTCCCCCATGTCACTTCTGTTTGGCGCAAACCTTGACCACCTGCCCCACCGGATTTTGAATACATTTGATATAAATATATGAGTTGGGAGGGGGTGTATGTAGACGGAAGGCAGGGGCATAAATGATTAATAAATAAACAAATGAATAAAATAAATAAGTAGATCAATGAATAAATACATACATACATATATATATATTATATATACTATGTAAATATATATATAATTATATAATATTTCAAACAATATATACATATGTATATGTGTATCATATTTGCGTGTGTGTGTATGTGTGTGTATGTTTGGATATCCTTATATTTACTATTTATTTTTCACTGTACATAGCCTAACATGGTATCCAAACAGCATGTGACTGGCACCAAAAAGGTGAATCGGTCGACGACTTTTCCAAAGAGGTCATAGTTGGGTTACGGGACTGGACATGTCAACTGCGTACCCCCCCAAGAAGTTCAGTTGAATGGCTGCCAATTTTGTCGAATTTTGGTTCTGCAAATTTGCGGTTGTTTATCCAGTTGAATAGGGCCTTATAGGGGGTCGCCGGATAAGGTCGCATCGCTTTACGATTTATGGCCATCAAACAAGTTGTTTTCCTAGCCACCCAATTTTGGGAACGCATCTTATTCCAGAATATTTCAGACAAAATCCTGAGATAACCCACAGGAAATGTTGACTTTCTAATTTTGCACAAACCAACGACAAGACCCAAAAGGTAAGATTAAGTGGGATTACCTATTCACAACACATATCAAACATGACAAAAACCCGTGGTCGTCTGGGTCTTGAATTGAATTTTTGATCCATACCATTTTTTTTTGCAAGAAAAAAACAGGTTTGTTCAGCCAGCAGCGCTTAAACATGGAACTTCTTTGAGCGGGATTAACCCGAACATAGCAGGGGATACAAGCTGGTGAGTGGCTCAAACAAACAGGCAACTTGAAGGGTGCCCCTTCCCAGCACCCCCCTGTTTTTTGGGTTCAGTAAACGCGACATGGTTTGATGGTGTTTGGCCCCTCATAATTCTTGGCAACGCCTGAATTGTTGGCGGGTGTGACTTCTGAGATCACAATTTTTGGGGTGAGGAAACTACCCTCTGGCAAATTAACATAACTATGGAAAATCAACATTTTTAATGGGAAAACTCACTATAAATGGCAATTTTCAATAGCTATGTTAGTTTACCAGAGGAGGTGTGGTCATCATACCCCTTGACAACTGGGTTTGTTACAGGATTCTTGCAGGAACGAGGCCCGAGAAGGATGTTTGTTGGCTATTTGTTTGGTCGGGGGTTCGCTTGGAGTGCCGGAAAGTGGATCGCTTTGACCGCCGGAAAGTGGATCGCTTTGACCGCCGGAAAGTGGATCGCTTGGAACGCCGAAAAGTGACACGCACAGACACACAAGAGGGACATAGCGCTATAGCTACATATAGACACAGAGGCATAGACATATAAATGGACACATTCATACGTGCCTACATGCTGAAGCACTGAAGCACGCACGTAGTGACATTGGTAGATGCACGCAGGTACACATTCCAGGCGATCTGCCTTCCGGCCCGAAATCAGACAGTTAACCGAACCCGTTTCCCAGTCCCGTGTCCCCAAGTTAAGCCCTGCAGGTCTGATTCTGGTTCTGATTCACCATGCTTGTCCCCTAAACCTACCCCATTCCCAGTCCCAGCCACCCACCTGTCCGTTAAACCCACCCCATGTCCCAGTCCCAGCCACCTGCCCTGAAACGCACCCCATGTCCCAGCCCGGTGTCCCTGCTTGTCCCAGCCCCCTGTCCCCAAGTTACGCGGCTGTGCGGATTGACTCGCACATGTCAAGGGCAGCGCTTTCTTGTCCACACCTCCCCATACGTGGTGGGTTGTCTTTTGCGGGAACACATATACAAACCCGTCCCCAAGTTAAACCCTACCTAAAGATGTGATTCTTTGGTTCTAATCCACCATGCTTGTCCCCTAAACCCACCCCATGTCCCAGCCCCGTGTCCCGATTTGTCCCCCAAACCCGCCCCATGTCCCAGCTCCGTGTCCCCAAGTTAAACCCCAAAGGTCTCAGTCTCTTGTGCTTTAAGTGATCCACTTTTTGGTGCTCTAAGTGATCTGGTGCTCTAAGTGATCCGCTTTCTGGTGCTCTAAGTGATCCCCTAACCTACTTGCTTCGAGTCGACCCGTGAAAACGAAATCCTGTGGTTCTTGGGGTTTGTCTTCGTCCTCATCAACAAGTGATGTCAACTCTGGATTAATCAACCCCTGCTTCATGAATCATGCGGTTCAATTTCTGATAGTACGGATTGGCAATGTATGTATAGATATAGAATATATAGATTCTTTAATCACTGTTTGGAGGTGGCCAAAAAACAACTAACTAGTAGCATTTTGTTCTGAATTGGATTAACCCCACCGCTTGTTCTCATGCTGTTCGATCCTTGTGACTTCTGATCCGGGTGGTGGTTTGCAAAGTGTTGTCCGGATAACTTCAATATACCCAAATCATTAATTATTGCTGCGTCGACCTTGGGCGGGATATTTGAACACATTTTTGTAGCAATAAATGGCCCCCTTTGGTTATGTCAAAATAGCTATTGAAAATTGCCATAGAAATAGTTGATTTACCTATTAAAAATAGTGATTTTCCATAGTTTTTTGTATGTTTACCAGAGGGTACATGGTGATATTTGACTGCCCAAAACTGCCTGATCTGCAGTCAGGATCGCCGCATCCCACTGCTGGCTGAAGGCGCATCCGGGTATCTGAAAACGGATGAACAGTCGGGGGTATCATGGGAACATATACCCTCCCGTAAACCAAAAATAGCTATGGAAAATTACAATTTTTAATAGGTAGATCAACTATAAATGGGCCAATTTCCATGGCTATGTTAAATAACCAGAGGGTACATTCTTTTGTTGAGTTCACAAACCTTTGATTTCATTGTTCATAGCTTGCCAGTTTTTATCCTTCAAACTGGGGTCCAGAAAACAACTTTTATGTACAGCGAGGGGGTTGAGAACACCAACCAGTTTATGTAAAACCCAAGGTTCAACGGTTCAACTATCCAGTTTTTTTACATAAAATCCACATGCATCATTTTTTGAAATCGTACCCACTGGCACTAACACCCGACTCTCGAGACCCGGGAACATATGTTCGATGTGTTTACTTATTCTTGCGTTAAATTCTGCGAGGGTTCATGTTGTTATTTTTTGCCTGGAAGTATTATTCTTTCATATGCCATACGGCATGTATAATTTACAGCCAGACCTAGAATTCAACAGAGTCCCATGTGTGCAGATTCTAGGCGAAACCCCAGCAGGATGATTTCTGACCTACGTATATTGTTTTTTTTTTTTTGCGGAGTAGGACGGAGTAGGAGCAGTTCGGACATAGTAATTGCATACCACTGGGTTCTGATGTTCATACTGACAAGTCACACACACATTTATATATATATATAATTATATATATATAATTATATATATATAAACATATTTCGACAATCGCCAGATATCACAAGATATCACCAGCACAGTGGGATTGCCAGGTGCCAACTTCATTGGCCGCATGAGTCACCCAGGCCGAAGCGCGGCCAAACTCAAGATGTGGGTTACCACTGAGCTTGGAAGATGCGAAACACCGTCTCCATATAGTATAATATAATATAATATAATACAATATAATATATATATAATATAATATATTTATATTAGATTATATTCTATTCTATTCTATTCTATTATATTATATTATATTATATTGTTCCCCACCTGCCAGGTGAGGGTTGTTAGATTTTATGTCAGTTGCCTCCTCCTGCCTCGTCCTCCTCCTCCTCCTCTCCTCCTCGTCCTCCTCGTCCTCCTTGTCATCCTTGTCGTCCTTGTCGTCCTCGTCGTCCTCGTCGTCCTCGTCGTCCTCGTCGTCCTCGTCCAACTGCGACCCTCGACCACAGTGTTCCCTGCCGGACCTCAACCACGACCATCCACGCCCAGTGTTCCCTGCCGGACCTCAACCACGACCATCCACGCCCAGTGTTCCCTGCCGGACCTCAACCGCGACTTCCAGATCGCAGTGGGCACTGCCGGACCTCAACGGCAAGAATGTCAGAAAAGATGTCAGATAGAATGTCAGAAGATATGTCATAGAATGTCAGAAGATATGCCAGACAGAATGTCAGAAGATATGCCAGAAAGAATGTCAGAAGATATGCCAGATAGAATGTCAGAAGATATGCCAGATAAAATGCCATGAGATATGCCAGATAGAATGCCAGAAGATATGCCAGATAGAATGCCAGAAGATATACCAGATAGAATGCCAGAAGATATGCCAGATAGAATGCCAGAAGATTGCCAGATAGAATGCCAGAAGATATGCCAGATAGAATGCCAGAAGATAGAATGCCAGAAAATATGCCAGAAGATATGCCAGATAGATATGCCAGAAGAAATGCCAGAAGATATGCCAGATAGAATGCCAGAAGATATGTCAGATAGAATGCCAGAAAGATATGCCAGATAGAATGCCAGATAGAATGCCAGAAGATATGTCAGATAGAATGCCAGAAGATATGCCAGATAGAATGCCAGAAGATTTGCCAGATAGAATGCCAGAAGATAGAATGCCAGAAGATATGCTAGATAGAATGCCAAATAGAATGTCAGAAGATATGTCAGATAGAATGCCAGAAGATTTGCCAGTAAGAAAATGTATAAATGTCATGGTGGGGATCACACGAAGTAAAGTAATTTTTTAAATATATTATATATATTGTAAATATGTATGTATATTGTATTTGTATCTATGTATCGATTACAGAATCAGAATGATTAATATGAGTCATAACCATATATAGATAGATAGATAGATAGATAGATAGATAGATAGATAGATAGATGGATAGATAGATAGATAGATAGATAGATAGAGAGATAGAGAGATAGAGAGATAGAGAGATAGATAGATAGATAGATAGATAGATAGATAGAGATATAGATAGAGATATAGATAGAGATATATAGATAGATAGATTGATGGATAGATAGATAGATAGATAGATAGATATACAACGGTTTGGAAGTGACTTCTGTTAGGTTCCAACTTGAACTTCTGAAGTGCTGTTCCCTCACACGCACTTGGAAATCACTGTTCACACAATGACAGATGGCAACGGAAAAACTCCCCATTAAAATTTATGTATCCCAGATTTGGTTGGGTGAATCTGGAGGAACACCGTATAATCCCATATATTTGAAGGTAACAACGAAGTGAATCTCTGTTAAAACTCTTTGGCCCAAATCCGTAAATCCATATAGATCCAACCAATGAGACGCTTGCGGGTAAATCATGTTACAAGCCCCAAAATAAACCACTGTAACATCATGTAACATCCAATCCTAGCAGATTGACAACGATTGATAAGGTTTCTGTGTGTACCTGCAGTAACCTCACAAAACATAGGACAGTAAGATTGTACAAGAATGGATTACCTTTCCATCTTTTTGGGGATTGCTACGTGCAGTATATGAATCACAAGGCGCACGAAATTCCCTTTAAAGTTGATCTTGATAAAGTTGATTGTGTCATGAATCACTACATGAGAGAATTACTTTAGATATTAACCCCAAGAATAATCAAAAATCACTATATATTTCATTAGAAACAATATTCCCATTATATCCCCGTTATCTCCATATATCATATAAATAAATATATATATATATATTTATGTCATATATCCATATTGTTGCCCTCATCACCATTGCTGACAGGTTATTTTGACAAGCTGCAAAGGGGAGCGCCTCAAGGAAGGCCGTCACTTGGACCAATTCTATAGTTGATTTCCTATCGAAAATGGTGATTTTCCCTCATTACTCTAGGGAGTACTAGGGAAAAATCTACAAATGGTTGATTTTCCACATCGAACTGTGAACGTTTACCCTAGGGGAATGAAGGTATTTAGCGGGGTTCATGGGATAATTTTAGAATTTATTGGCAATAGACTTTTTTCATTTTTTCTACGTTGGGGATAATTTTCAGGGATATTTCATGGGCTAACCAGCTATGATCAAAAGTTGGACTGTTTTCCCATATTAGGATGGTCATCAAGCTATATTTTCACGGGGAGTTCTATGCAAACCTGACGTTTGGATTCCCATTATGCAGTGGCCATAAGCCATACCCCCTGGAAATTTAACATAGCTATTGAAAATGGTCATAGAAATATATATTTTTTTTTGCCCAGCTATAAAAATGGTGATTTTCCATAGTTTTATTTGTATGCTTGCCAGAGGGTTCACTATAGTTTGACCATCGCACAGATGTTGATTCAAGCATTCAGCTGTAACGTTCCAAGCTGGGAAATCCCCTAAAAAATGGGGTTTCCATAGTCATGGTGGTACCCCAATATCTGGATGGTTTATAAGGGAAATTCCTATTAAAATGGATGATTTAGGGGTACCCCCATTTATGGACACCCTCAAATGTGGTAATTTTCCGCAAGCCTTTGATTACCACAGGGTACCACTCAGATTGGCGAATAAAACCAACATGTATAAACAATAGATAGACACATATATAGGTGCAATTTATGCATACATACGTACATACATACGTACGTACGTACGTACATACATAAATACACACACACATACATACATACATACATACATACATACATACATACATACATACATACATACATACATACATACATAAATACACACACATACATACATACATACATACATACAGACACACACACAGACATACAGACAGACAGACAGACAGACAGACAGACAGACATACATACATACATACATACATACAGACACACACATACATACATACATACATACATACATACATACATACATACATACATACATACAGACACACACATACATACATACATACATACAGACACACACACACATACATACATACATACATACATACATACAGCCATGCATGCATGCATACATCCATCCATCCATCCATTCATCCATCCATCCATAAATCCATGCATCCATAAATCCATGCATCCATGCATACATGCTTCCTTCCTTCCATGCATGCATGCATACATACATGCATACATGCATCCATGCACCCATGTATCCATGCATCCATGCATCCATGCATCCATGCATCCGTGCATCCATGCATCCATGCATCCATCCATCCATCCATCCATCCATCCGTCCATACCTACGTACATACATACATCCATGCACTCATGCATGCATGCATACATACAGACACACACACACATACATACATACATACATACATACAGCCATGCATGCATGCATGCATGCATGCATACATACAGACAGACAGACAGACAGACAGACATTCATTCATTCATTAATTCATTCATTCATACATACATACATACATAAATACATACATACATACATACATACATACACACATACACACATACACACAAACACACATACACACACACATACACACATACACACACACACACGCACACACGCACACACGCACACACGCACACACGCACACACGCACACACGCACACACGCACACACGCACACACGCACCCACACACCCACACACCCACGCACGCACGCACGCACGCTTGCACACACATGATTTCTTCATGATTTCTCTTTATACTGTTCTGTATAGTTAAGATTCTTCATAGAATTCCGTGTGGTCAATGAAGGCCTGAAGCCGACACAGCAGCAGGTCTCGAAAAGTAGTTCCTGAAGTATTATATAAACTTAGATGGTGGATTTTTAATAAGGTTCCTTGTTGGAAAATCTTGAGCATCTCAATATATAATCAATTTCCGGGAATCTTTGGCCATGCTGGCCAAACAGATATCACCGCAGGTATGGGTTGAAGTCGGGTGCAGGAGCTGCTTGTGTATCGTAAAGGAGCAAATGCTGAAGACCTTTCACCTTGAAGGCTCAGTCAAGCTCATTGAGGCATTACCCGGGGCCGAGTAGACAATAGGGTCTGTAGACCATGGGCCGTCTTTGCTGGGCTTCAGGCTAGTAGAAACATCACTAAATCTAAGTTGGCCCTGCCTTCTGAACCCCCAAGAAGTGCTGAATTGCTTTTCAAACGGAACCCACCCAAATGCAACACCCACAACATTGTTCATTCCAGGTGCGCATACTAAAATTTTGAAGACGCACCGGCACACCACATTGTGATTGTCTTACATGTCAACGATCAGATCGTGCAATGCCCAGCACGCTATACCCTTGCACTAGTCTGCCTGGCCGACGCCCTCTGAACATCAAACAAAGAGGGACAGCCGGATAGCTAGATTTGGCCAATGGCAAGCCTACAAGTGACACTGCAGTGCCAGTCCCCGTGGATCAAGCATGTTGGTGGCGGCATGCAGGGCGAAGAAAGGTAGATGCCACGTATACTAGTCTTTGAAGCGGCGAGAGTTAGGGAGCTAGAGCACCAGTTCAAACATTTCACTGGGGCAGCGCCAAGTGGAGGTACTTTTATGTGTAAAGCGCGGTTTCTTGGTCTTTGCCTCGTCACAAAAAAACTTTGATATTTTTGATGATATTCCTGACATCCCCTGTGGGTTGATTTCGCGTTGCCCGACGCAACGTTCCAGGTTCATCGATCATACGGGTATGGGTCAAAATTCAAGATGCATGGGGGCACAAGTTTGGTCCCTTTGGTGTTGACCATCTGGTTGCCTAATTTCGTTCAACAGGGCCGCGCCAGCCATACGAATCTCGCCAGCACTGCTGAAGGTTCTTGCCTTTCGTCTCCAGACGGCATCTTCAGGCCTGGCATGTGGTGACGCGGCTCCGTGATGGCGAACTCATGGGTGCAGATTCGCAACCAGTAGTGGCCAGTAGAAGCTTCAATGAAGGGGATGAAAGGGAAGTATGATTGGTTGTTTCGATCCTGGGGGTAGCAGCGTGCCCACAAAATCGTTTGAGAATATTACATGGTACCAAGTATGTGCATGCGGCAGTGCATGCGCACGTAGATGTATGTGTCAAGGCACACGTGTACGTAACGGATTACTGCTCAAACTTCAGGTGTGAGATGAAAAACATCCGGTTCCGCCACAAGACGAACTAGTTATTGGCGATATGCTCTTGGAGAAACCCGCGTGGAAACCCAAACCAAAGCCCCATGTATGGAAAGCGGTCATTTTCCACCAGTATTGAAATAAATTCCGACATAAAGATTGGTGTTCAATGATTTTATGTTTTTTTCCCGGGGATTTCCTTTCATATAGATTGTGATTAAAACAGCATTTTCGTGGTTTTTCCCTTCTCAAGACGGTGATGCGTTGGCTGATGCTTCATTATGGATTTTCCAGCGCATTTGGATTTGGATCAGAACCTGCTAGACTATGCCATATTTTGGGGGGATGAGCATCCATCCAAATTATTTTGGTGTTCACCCGAGGTACAGGGTTTGGCCCATTCCCAAGTTGTCCATAATATCAGTGCCCAAGTCGCGGGCAGGTGACGGCCTCGCCCTACGATTCCTCTGAGCCGCCCAACAAGCAATGCTTCGAAGTGGTCAACTGGAGCCGCTAGGGCTGGCGTTTAACCAGCAAAAACACGAACTTAACCAGCACATGCATGGTTCACCCATGAAAAACGCGTAAAAACAATACACACCCATATTGTATCAACTAATGTTTACTTCGAGTGTGACATAGTAAAAATATGAAAAACTATTTCAACATAAAAGAGCATATACACATACGCACATGCACACACACATACACACACATAAATACATACATACATTAATTACATCACATACATTACATACATCACATACATTACATACATTGCATTACATACATGACATACATTACATTACATACATTACATGCACTACATTCATTGCATACATTGCATACATTACATGCGTTACATACATTACATACTTTACATACATAGATAATAAATACATTAGATTACGTACATTACATACATTACATACATTAGATTACATACATTACATACATTTCATACATTACACACATGACATGACATGACATTACACTACATTAAACATATTCCTCTGGTGAACTCAATCCAGATTATTCTCCCTATTGCTACGCTGAGTTTTGCAATTGCTTGAGGCAACAACCCCATCTCCGTGGCGGGACATCGCCTGGAGGAAGGGCAGAAACGCATGGCGCAGGTGCCATCATCGCAGATCCCGGATCTCGGATCCGCGTGGTCAAATTCTGACAGAACGAACGAAAAATGGGGATTTACCCTTTAGTAAAATAATGTCCAGATATTATGGCTTCATATCCGCATAAACTACCCTCTGGTAATTTAATACAGCTATTGAAAATGGCCATTTATAGTTGATTTACATATTAAAAATGGTGAGTTTTCATAGCTATGTTAGTTTACCAGAGAGTATCCGGATACAACATGATTGAAACAACCAAAATGCTCATTTGTGAAATTAAAATGGTGATTTCAGCAGTCAGGAATGGTGATTATCAAAAATGGTGATTGACATGGAATTTTCAACAACCATGTTGACAAAATAGGGTATATTGGTACATGATGCAAAAAAACAGGTCTGAAATTTGAAGCCACCAAGGATGTTTTTTTTTCCCCACCTGCCAGGTGAGGGTTGTTAGATTTTATCAGAGCTGTTCTCCTCCTCCTCCTCCGCCTCCTCCTCGCAGTCCAGATCCCAGTGGGCACAGCCGCCGGACCTCCACCGCGAGTTGCAGATCGCAGTGGGCACTGCTGGACCTCAACCGCGACTTCCAGGTCGCAGTGGGCACTGCCGGACCTCAACCGCGACTTCCAGATCGCAGTGGGCACTGCTGGACCTCAACCGCGAGCTCCAGATCCCAGTGGGCACTGCCAGGCCTCAACCGCGACTTCCAGATCGCAGTGGGCACTGCCGGACCTCAACCGCGACTTCCAGATCGCAGTGGGCACTGCCGGACCTCAACGGGAAGAAAAGATGTCAGATAGAATGTCAGAAGATATGCCAGATAGAATGCCAGAAAGAATGTCAGAAAGAATGTCAGAAGATATGCCAGATAAAATGTCAGATAGAATGCCAGAAGATATGCCAGAAGATATGTCAGATAGAATGTCAGAAGATATGCCAGATAGAATGCCAGAAAAAATGTCAGAAGATATGCCAGATAAAATGTCAGATAGAATGCCAGAAGATATGCCAGATAGAATGCCAGAAGATTTGCCAGATAGAATGCCAGAAGATATGCCAGAACATATGATGCCAGATAGAATGCCAGAAGATATGTCAGATAGAATGCCAGAAGATTTGCCAGATAGAATGCCAGAAGATATGTCAGAAGATATGCCAGAACATATGCCAGAAGATATGCCAGATAGAATGCCAGATAGAATGCCAGAAGATATGTCAGATAGAATGCCAGAAGATTTGCCAGTAAGAAAATGTATAAATGTCATGGTGGGGATCATTCGAAGTGAAGTAATTTGAACCATCAGAACATAGGTAAGAAAAAATGCCTCTCATTCAAAATCATTGGGTCGCATTTCCCTTAAAGATTCATTACCCAAACAAAACCTTGGTTTGATATTGGATCTATTCACTGGGGGGCCACTTACGGGAATATTTGATGTTGGGATGAGATTTCTTCCAGGCACCATCACGCACCAACAGATTTGGGGGCAGGATCCAGTTTCCGGTGAAGAAACAGAGCTACAAATTTTCCGGTAAGTTTTAAACCAGCAAATATTTGGCAAAGTCTTGAAAGGAAACCGGGAAACCATTTTTGATTTGAGATGTGGTGCAGGTTTTGGTTTCAACCCGCGATAGGTTTTGGCAGCTTGTGGTTGGGGTAAAAAAATATCAAGAACGGTGGGCATCTAGCACAAGCCGATGGGAAGCGTACACCGAATCCCAAAGGTTGGTTAACACTGTATGCCCTCTGGTAAGCGTAGCTAAAAAGCAATGGAAAATGGCCCATAGAAATAGATGGTTTTACCTATTAGAAATGGTGTTTTTTTTTTTTTTTAAATAGCTGTTTTGACATAACCAGAGGGTAAAGTTTCCAAGTCGAGGTTATGCCCGAGAGTATTGTTGGTGTTGGGGTCTGGACGTTCTGCACTGGGAAAACCATTGGGCCCAAGATAGTTTCTTCGACTCGCAATCCTTGTGTTGACCCCATTGACACTCCTATGATTCCTATGATATCCTATGATATGGGTCTGATAGCCTCTGGTAAACGTTTACATAACTATGGAAAATCACCATGTTTAATGGGAAAATTCACTATTTCTATGACAATTTTCAAGTTCGCAAACTGTAACAAATTACCAGAGGGTAGGGTGTTCCCAACATTTGATGCGCATTTTTTTCATCATTTCCCACCAGGTGGGAGACACCATCGAACTGCTTGGGGAGGCACTCGAAAGAAAACCGCCGACTGGGGCGCCAGTGTCAAGGTTTTCCACCAAGGAACGGGCTAAGATGTTCAGCCAGATTCTAGGGGTTTCTAATGAGGCGTATGGTTTTTTTGGTTATTAGTTTTGATTGTGTTATGTTTATAGTTTTGGCGTTTTTTTTTTCAGTTCGGCTTTTTGCTTTTCGATTTTGGTTTCTATTGTTTTCTGGTCATGGTCCCAACGAGAAAAGCATAGCAGGCGTGGTAGTTTTACACAGCGGACAATCACAATTTCAATAGGTAAATTAGCTATACATGGGCCATTTGAAAATCAATTTTTCATCCATTTTCCATATACTGAGTTACTGCAGTTGAATTAGCAGTTGGCATGTTCTTTCCTCCATGTCGAATCCCACTGTAGACCCAGGCGCCATGGCCATTGTATCGCCAGGATGGACGAGGCGGAGTTGCCCCGTACTTAATCTTCCGTCCAGCGCTCGGAGGGGTCCGACTCAAAAAGCCACGGCGGGGGCCATGAAAAAAATTGAACAACTCGATTTGCATCAATTTTTTCAGAGAAACACCAAATTCGATGAGAACATCATTTTCCCAGAGTGTTTTTTTTTGGTTTCCTGAGTAGGTCTACCCCTAGTTATCCATTTTCATGGGATTTTCCATCATCAACCAAGCAGCTATTGGGGTACCCCCATGGTGAATCCTTGATTTTGGACAGGGACTCACTTAATGCATCCAAGTGGCAATGTTTAATGCCAAACCTGTGGATGGTTGACGGCGTTTTTCAGTCATTTTACTCATGTTTAATCTTTCATGATGTGGGAGATCTATATATGAAACAACCAGTACCCTCTGGTAAACTAACATAACTATGGAAAATCACCATTTTCAATGGGTACATCCACTATAAATGGCCATTTTCAACAGCAAACTGTTAAATTACCAAAGGGTAAACATGTTTAAACTTTCATGATTCAGTGGTGATGATGCCTCAAGTTTTCAAACATAGCTGACTGAACAACCATGCGGTCCAGAAGTGAAAAATCACTCCGCTTCAGTTGATCCACCAGAAAAGTCACTGACCCCACGAACTGGAATGAGTGTCTTACGAACCATGATTGTTCACTGTTCTAGTTGCTAGCATCACTTTCATCCCCCAATTTCTTGTTGGTTGCAGTTGAATTTTCTTTCTTATTCTAGCTTAGAATTTTGCACCTTTTGGCAGTTTCAACATCCTGATCCAGGTCCAAAATGTACAACGGTGCACCTCGAAATTGGACACTAGACAGATGGGAAAAATAGGATGAACCGATGAGTTTTTGCAGTGATACTGATACCTGTGCAAACGGCATTCAGCATGATATTTTCCAAGGTACCCTCTGGTAAACTAACATAGCTATGGAAAATCACAATTTTTAATGGGAAAATCCACTATAAATGGCCATTTTCAATAGCTACGTTAAATTACCAGAGGGTATCCCAGAGGTGAAAAGTCCTGGTTGAATCCCATGGAGAGGATGTCATGGACCATGGCATCCATGACATCCCTGACATCGACAGCCGATGGCCAACATATGGCAACCACGTTACCACGGCAACCGTTGCCGATGTTGTTGGCTACATTTGGCTACTCACCATGGTTTTCCACCAAAATGTTGATGTACAAGAAAACACGGCTCAACCATACTTAATCTTCATATTCAGCACCGTTCTTAAGAGTGGCTAACATGCCGTAACATATGGTATCTCTGTATGGCTTTATCTATAGATGTCCCATTATATTCCCATGTTTGTTGGTTTATAACCCCCATAAAATTACACAACTTCGGTTTACTGTTCCGGTCCAACTATATCCACATTCTATCTCCATTCTATCCCCATATTTTAGTCGATGAACAGTTTGGTTACTTGGACGTGCATCCCAGTTAGTAAGTGTTTTAAAACCCATGATAACGTGTATATTACTGTAATATGTATGCAAATATAGATAACCATACGCACATATATAATTACATGCATATATACCGCATGTAAGCCATATAATTACATATGTATATAAATATTTACATGTTTATATGCATGTGTGTGTATATATATATATAAGAGCCACATATAGTTGGGTTACATCATGGCTACCACCCACTTACTAACTGACCCCGTGCTTCACCAACTTCCCCAAGCCTTGCTCCACGCATCAGGTCTGCTGTGGCTGGGTGCCGGGCGTTCCAACCTGTCGCTCGCGAGTCGCAGTACGCTGCTGCCGGCGGGCGCCATCTTCAAAGATCGCTTCAAGGCTGTGACGTTTCGGGGGATGGTGAAAAGTGATGAACATCAGCATTTTGAAAGATATGGCGCATTATTGGTTGCATTATTATCATCATAGTAATAACTATTATGCATTTATTATCTTTGTTACACACACACACACACATGTATATATATATATCTCTCTCTCTATCTATTGGTATGTGTCTTTATAACATTATGTGTATATATTACGTGTATATATATATATTATAAATCATGGGGATTGAATGGGATATTAATGGGAGCTTACAACCACCGATACAGTTATGAATGGATATTCAAGGGAAGATTTGTGCCACACCCAGCAAGACCAACTTGGGGGTGACAATGGGATTGCTGGATACGAAGCCGCAGATTGGGTCGAAATTTGGATTTGGGCTTTGGGTTTCAATGTTCAACTTGGGTAACTTGGGTGATTTGTGTCAATATTCTGATCAACAACCCAAATTACAAAAACAATCTGGATTGTAGCCTCTGGTAATCAAATATGAATGGAAAATCCATCAATTTATAGATATTCATAGGATTTCATAGGTACATTTTCCATTCAAAGGCCCTTTTTTTATGGAGGATTTGCCCGCCATGTTTGCCCCGTGCGGAGGCAGATGGTCAGCGGGAGCCGTTCGGAGCTCGTCCGGCTCGTCCGTTCGGACCTTGAGAATCGCCCATTTTTAATGGAAAGTAATCTTCCAACCCTTATTTGCTAGGGTCTATGTTAATTTACCAGAGGGTAGTTTGAAGATGATTAATATAGATATATATATATACACAGTATATCAGTACAAATACTGTATAATATATATATATAAATCTTAGTATTATGGGATGTTAGTTTTGTAATTCAACAATTAATATTAATGAGATTATGATTTTGCATTGTTGGATTTGCTGAAGATTTTAATCTTTTTTACGAATGGTTAAGACTCACTTAATTCCTGGGGAATCTGCTGGGATTATTCATGAATAGTTGCATTATTTTAAAGTAAATCTGTCAGACAACGGTGGGAATAGCCAACACCAATTGGGATTGTTAGCCACAAAAGATGGTATTTGGATGTATTTGGGGTCTGAACCAAACTTGGGCTCTCCAAAAGATCGGGTGAACAACAGCGCCCTTGGTCCGACCTTTGATTTGACCTTTGATCAAACCGTCCAAAAGTCTGGGGCATCAAATAAGAATTTTTGGACTAGTCTGATTGCCGCCTTGTTGACCATACTCAACTTGATCGTTCCCAAATGGTTTCAGCACTTCATCAACTCGTTGTGTTCTCAACGGAGGGACTATTTTTTGGGGGGCGGACTACAGTAGGTTTAAAAAAAATGTGTGGATGCCATCATGGATTCGTTTCAATGACCACAGTGACCACAGTGACCCTCCAAGGGCTCCAAGGGCTCCAAGGGCTCCAAGGGTACAGCCCATCATTCGCCAGCGACGCCGAGGCCATTTCAGCTAATCCTGGCTGGAACTGCCGTGGTGAAGGCGTGGGCCATAGCCATAGCTGCCATAGCTGCCGTGGACCCAGCTGGTGAACCCCAAAATAGGTCCAAATCCATAGATGTCCCAAATGCCCATTGGTTGGTTGATTAATAGAGCCCTTTAACAACAGGTAAATGATGATAGATGGTATACCAGCTCCCGGCCCCTCTATTTTTACCAGACGGACATTATTGTCCAAATCATGAATAGATCCATAGCACCCAAGACTTTTTACCCTACTTAATTCTAAACCATACTAAAGCAGGTGTTTTGTTTGGGTGGTGTTTAAGATTATACATTAATTAGTGGTGTCATTATTTGATGGGTACATCTCAATAAACCATCATTATTCACGGAGAAATGGATAAATCCCAATAAACCACCATCTTTTTCTGCTTAGATCAGATGACATATCCATAGTCATTCCACTAAATCATACTGAACCAGGTCAATGGCCATTTCAGGAACCTAAATTGGAGGTACCTACCATATATAAGGCCTATGTAAGGGAATATTCCAACAAAATATGGCCTTATATATGGTGCAGTACCTCCATTTTAGGATCCTGAAATTCCCATTGACTATAATTGTCATTATTATGATCATTATTGTCAATTTCCATATTATTAATGGTACAGTACCTCTATTCCCATTGACCAGGTGTTGAAGAAAATCGGTTTCCAGCGACATTTTCCGGGCTGCAGGGCCTCCCACAGTCCTGGCGCGTGGTGGATGGGCTGTCCACAGGTCGCAGATGTTGAAACCTGAGAGGTTGGGAGGTCACACTGAATTAACTATAATCATACATCATGTGACTATATGTATGTATGTATGCACACACACACACATATATATATATATGTATATGTATATGTATGTGTATATATATATATGTATATATATGTATACATACATATATATATATATGTATATATATATGTATATATGTATATATATATATGTATATGTATGCACGTTGTCACCAGCAGTTAGGATATGTGTTGGTTTATCAAGTCCTCAATTAATATGGATTTGAGCATCATCTATAGAGAATTCAAACATGTTTTGTCCATCAGTCGCCCAGGGTTTCTATGGGATCCCATTGGTGAAGAATCTACTTGGGAGATCTTGGGAGAAAAAAACACCATCATTAACCATTAATAATGACCATCCATATTAACCATATATCATAAGTATATCATAAGTATATCATAAGTATATCATAAGTATATCTTTAGTATATCATATTAACCATTAATTTTTTAACAGTATATTACCAACCAATGGTAGGTGGCTCAACCACCAACCAGTATTGTATTGTTCAAGAGGGGAATGATCCAAAAAAGTGCATCAGGCACCTCACTTGATGCAACGACCCCAACTTTGAGAGTTGGTCATCACTGTGATAGCAAGCGTCGGCTTGCTGAAAATATTTTCTGAGACGATGAGTTGATATATTTTCATGTATTTTCCCATCATTTTTCCATTGCTTACTGCATCTTCCCATGATTTTTCACATTGTTTCCCCATTATTTCTCCCTTATTTTGTCCAATATTATTACCATACATTTCAGATCAGCCTATTTTTGGAATATTCTTTCATATTCCCAAAATAATTACCATATCAGCCTATTTTTCCATATTCCTAAAATAATTACCATCCATTTTCCAATATGACCATCCAAACAACGTTGGGAATCCAGTCCGGGGACTCCAAACAACGCTTGAGGACTCACTGTGGGCCGAGCACACCAGCGGGAATTGCATGAGAAAGCGTCAGGGGATCCCGGGATATCCCCACAGGAGGCCCCCAAGATATCTAAGTTGATTTAGATATCATGCATACCATATTATATTGATTTATAGTATCTATAGTATCTATAGTATCTATTACAGATAGTATCTATACTATATAGTATCTATCATAGTATCTATAGTATCTATTGATTTATTTGCGTACCATAAACCATAGTTATTGGAGTTATGTTACCCCCTGGTAAATTCACAGTTGGACCCTGAAAATGATCAATTTATAGTGGAAACTAGTTAAAAGAAACCGATGAATGGCAGGGTCTATGTTAATTTACTGGAGGGTAAGTATCTTTAACATCCCAGATAGACATATCCTAAAGATCTGGTTTACATCCCAGATTTGAACACATTTTGATGGGCTAAAAATGACATACCCTCTGGTAAATCAAAATTTTTAATGGACAATCACCATGCTATTAATGGGAGAATCCAGTATTTCTATGGCAATTTTATGCAATTTCCAATAGCCATGTTTGTTTACCAGAGGGTATTTTAAGTATCTTTAACATCACAGATTTGTACATATTTTGACATATTTTACATATATACTTATTGAATCTGCAGGTTGCAAGTTTGTCAAGGTATTGCGATTTTAAGGTTTATTGCTCAAATGAAGACTGTTGCCGTATCAGAACATGACGCAGATGCTCAACATCTATAGAATTATGTACATACATATATATATATATATGTAAATATACATATATATATATACACACACTAGCAATGTATATATCTATATAAATAGTGTGTGCGTGTGTGTGTCACACACATATATATATATATACAATACACAATATATATATATAATACATAATATATATATAATATACATCACACACACACATATATATATATAATACATATGTTTTTTTTTTTTTATGTGCATTTTTTATTAGATATAATGATAACATAAATGGAATACACACGCACGCAATGCAATCTGATAAAAATCTCACCCAAATCTGGGTATAGAAATCATGGAGCCCCAACAGTGAGTTACCCGGTCCCGCCATCGCCAGGTTGGTGGAAGGAGTCCTGGAGCACGGCGGCTCAGAGAAACATCAGTTTCCCATGGTCAAAAGTTGGGAGAAACATGGGGAAAATGAGAAAACATGAGGGAACAACAAGTTCATTTTTTGTCTAGAACTGGGGCTGTATATGAACTAACTAAATCTAACTAAGATGTCTAAGATGTTCATTTTTGGGAAAGGTATCTAAGATTGGCTGTGATTATGGCAAGGCCAGTGCGTAAGGGACAGGTATATAATACATTCACATTCCCACACCTTCCTGGAACTTTTCCATGTACACAATCTGATTAGAATCCCGGATCCCAGAAATCCCCCCCGCAGGGAGATCACAGCTGCGCATCCGCTGGTCCAAGTTGGCTCGCAGTTGTGCAGACAATCGTCAGGCGGAAACTGATGTGAATCTGCAAGCGGGAGATGGACGCTTCAAGGACAAGACACCGTTGTTTGTGGCAGCATATGGCAGCCACAGAAGGAAAACTGGAGAGTGGCGGTGCTCCTCGAGGCAGTTTGCAACCTGGACGTCGAGGGCATTTGCTTCAGCTGAGCCCAACTGCCATCGAATGCTGCAGAAAAGCAGCCGGGTTGGTTCACAGGACCACAGGAGAAAAGGTCGTGGAGCGTGCCCACATTTGGGAACAACTTCGGGACTGGACAAAGGACGAATTGGAAATCAGGAAGGTAAAGGATGGAACACTCAGCAATTGGCTTTTCGATGCCACGAAAAATAGGTCAAACTGGAATCCCAGAATTTACACGGCCAGAAGTGCAAGCCCAAGTGATGCGTGCAACTGGGAGCTGCTGGAGGCGTTGTCCTCCTGCCTCTCCTATGCTCTTCATTGTATCCACCTGCCTTGCCCTGCCTCAGAGCAAGGCAGGCAGATAAAATGAAGAGCAGAGCATCATGTCCTTTCGACTTGTTTCCCAAATGTCAGTGGCATTTTCTACGGTGGCAGTGTCGTTTGGCGGAGCAGGCGATACGAGGCCGATGGCCTCGGGCTGGTCATGCCGAGCCCAGCTAAAAAAACCTCGGAGAGATGAAGATCCTTGGCGCAGTGGCGCAGTGTCAGCGTGTCATGCAGCCAAAACCAAGAGTTAGCCAGGCAGTTGTGCATGTTCACAGGGGTTTTCGGGGTTTTGCTGTAGCAACTTTAGCTTGTGTCAACGGGTTTGTTTGATGAGCAACTGAGGTCATCGCATGACAAGCAAAGGAAACTCGAGCCTTTCATTCCAAGTTTTTTCGGCTTTATGTTCAATGATCGGGCCAGTGGCTTTTTGTTTTGCTGCATATTTTGTTATTCTTGTACTACGGCCACTCACAAGCACCCAAGATCTCGAGAAAAGAATCCAACACCACAAGCGAGGACACAACTCCAAGAATTGCAGTCAGAGCAGAAGCAGCTTTGGACAATGGTCATGTTTTTGTCGGGACAGTTCAACGTTCACACATTTGTTACAGTACCTCTTTTGAAAAAAACATCCGTAATCCAATGTGAAGGCCAAAGGCTAACAACCCACAGTGGATTGTTTAGGGCCACTTTTTTTGTGCTTTCTGCCGACCACAGCAAAAAGCATTCACCGGTAGGCGCCGGTCAAAGGAAGCCGAAAGGTCCCTGGACTTGAAGGTGGCCTGCTGACCAGGCAGCCGACCCCATGACTTGTGCTGTGGAAGAAATCTTGCACCAGTTGATAGGTCTGATAGGTGGTTTATCCAGAATAGTTATAGGGGTTCAACATGTTTCAACCATCCAAGGTGACAAGGTGGTGCAAGATTTCGCTTCCATCCACAGTGTGTTTCACCCAGGACATTCCAAATCTGTGAAAAGCACTGCCCAAAAAGCGCCACTTCGCCCCACCGTGTCCCAGGCACAATGCCACCTGGTGGTGGAAACCCTGTTGAAGTTATAGTCCCACTGCGGGAGTGTATCATTGCGGATAGTTCATCATACGCATATTTGAAATATATAACCAGCTATAATCAAAAGTTGGATGATATACCATGAACAATCCATGAACTATATTTGGACAATATCATATCTAGTATTAATGTCAACCCCGGATTAATAAACCATGGTTTATTAATTAAGGGGGTACTCCTCCAATAGTCATAATCCATCATAATCCAATACTGAAATGGTACCCCCCCCAATTAAACAGCCGTTTGGGGTTTATTAATCCGGGGTTGACATTATATAATACTCGTATTGGGGGATGGTCTTATTAATCCATGAGGGATTCATATATTATACACCGATGTTGGGATTCCCATGGCATGGGATGAACAACCATTGAACAACCAAATATAGCCTCTGGTCATTTAACAGTTTGCTATTGAAAATGGTGATTTATAATGGATTTACCCATTGAACATGGTGATTCCATAGTTTTTTGTATGTTTACCAGAGGGTATACCATGTTTTGACCCTAGCACAAATGGCCAACAAAAATGGGGCACATGATGCTAAACCATTGGGTTTTTTGGTGGGTCATTGCCACCGATATGGGAGTCGCACTGGGGATATGGGCAATGGATGGCAATGGCTCAAGCCAGTTATGACTTTCCCATATGACTGGCGCCGTGAAGATTTTATCATAGGTCCACATTTCAGACGGCCAAGTTATATGTGCATGGAGCTTATTCCGTACATGATACAAATTATAGAACTATATTTACTTGCTCTCTCTCTCTCTCTATTACTGGTTGGTGGTTTGGAACATTTTTTATTTCCCCATATATTGGGGGTTAGGTATACCACCAAGCAGATTATTATTAACCATCATCAACCATATAATAACCATACATACATATATATATATTAACCATATATTAACCATATATTAACCATATATTAACGATATATTAACCATATATTAACCATATATAAACCATATATTAACCATATATTAACCATATTATATCATAAGGATATTATAATTACCAACCAATAGTAGGTTGAAACCACCAACCAGATTAACTATTAGTTATAACTGGTTATTTTTATTTATATATATATATGTGTGTGTTATATGCATGTATTTCACAAACGTTCGAGCCTGGGGGACAGGTACATCAGCCGGGACCATTTCTCGATCAAGCGACTGGGGGGCCGAATGGTTGTCGCGGTTTTCTCATGGGCGGGTCGAGTACCTACATCAGGAGGGATATTTACTGGATTTTTGATGGGTTTTTTTGATGGATTGACTCACCAAAGATTGGGATAGAATGGGATACATTCACAAATATCCATAGTGTCTAATCATAAAAGATGGTTGAGGATGAAATTTGGGGATACAGTGGGGATATAATTGATATTGTCATATTTGATGGTGTATAATGGGATATCATGGGATATATCCCCAAGCATATGATAGGGTTGTCTACCCATCAGCGGCTGTTTAGCGACGAACCATGGGTATGAAGGCTGGCGTACCCGAAAATGGATGGGATACAATGGAAAATCCAGTCAAAATGGATGATTTAGGGGTACCCTCTGGTCATTTAACAGTTTGCTATTGAACATGGTGATTTATAGTGGATTTACCTATCAAACATGGTGATTTTCAATAGTTTTTTGTAAACGTTTACCAGAGGGTACCCCCATGACTTAGGAAACCTTCACTGAACAGTATTGGGGACGCCAGGGCTTAGCTGCCACCACTGACACCACCAAGGGCTGCGAAGGATGGGAACTTCTCAGTGGTGCCATTGAGTGCCTTGGCCTTTTTTCCGATCGAATCCTGATGATCACCCGGAGTTTTCCGGAGGATGCTGGATTTTTCTCGATTTTCCTCCAATGAAGTGGCTGAAGATAGCCTAAAGATATACCAATCATAGGGCTTAGAGGCCACTCTTTGTCACTTTGTCACATATTCCAATCGTTTTATTCGAGGTTCAGAATGGAGTCCCCGATACAACCATGCACCGCCTGGTGGCTGGAGTTCAGGCGGACAATCAGATAGACCTGTGTGCAACCGCCAAAGGTAATCGCGCCATGTGAACAAACAGGCTAAGTCAGCAGACACTACGCTACATTACGCTACACTACGCACCTACATCACATTTACATTACATTTACATTTGCATTAAATTTACATACATTTCATCACATTTTATGTCATTTCAGCACATTTCATGATACTTCCTTACATTGCATACATATACGCACGCATATGCATCACACACACACACATGTATATATATATATATATATATATGTATAGTGGTTATTGTTAACCATATGTTAACCATATATTAACCATATATTAACCATATATCAACCATATATCATAAGTATATTATATATTAATGATCTTGGTCAACAGGTGTTTACACCTGCGCCAAGGTCAGAATCCCATGTGGCACTCGAGGGGCGGAAGGTCCCGGGGAGGATTTCCAACTGGGTCCATGGGAAGCCATGGATTTCATGAGATTTCTATGAATCATATACTTGGATAATAGGAGACACTAAAATCATGGTTTTCCAGAAGTACACAAAAAGATGGTAATGATATAATTACTTGGAGAATCATGAATTTGGATAACATATTATGATGTTCCAATTTTACTTATCCAAATTTATGTACTCATATCATAACTTTGGATATTTTAACCTCGTGTACTCTTGGAACATGGGATGATCAAATCCGTTGATTAAGCTGCACGGTAGGCTACAATTGTTGCAGTCGGGGACGCCAGAAATGAGCTGAGTGATCTTGGTCGTCACCTTTCAGATGAGCCATGATAGCGATGCTTAGTTTATTCCTGAAATTTGGGATTCGACTATGTTACGCGAATAGGTTGAATGAGGATGGAAGAATCAAATCCGGGAGATGGATCCAATAGGTTTGAGGAATCTCCAGTTTTTTCTCCGTTGGCAGCTACTGTGGAGTGGTGCTCGCGCTGTTTGCATTCGGGCTTTTGGCCACAGCTCAACCCAAGTTGGGCGTTGGCTGCGCACCTGTTGATAGAATGGACTTTCATACCAGCTACGAGGGCACCCCTTGCATAGGGAATATCAGTACTGGTATTCCTTAAGAGGTATGGTATATAATGTGGTGATTTCTACCAGGTATATCACGGTGAATTACCATATGAAACCTATTACAATCGATTAAAAATGCAGCTGATATTAGGCCAATTTCTTAGGTGATTTCTACAAAAAAAAATCTACCAGGTTCATTCCATAAGCTGATTGGATTGGTTTAAGGGCAAATTGAAACCGGAAACCATAGATTTTCCCATTAAATATGGCTTCTACACCACTTCATGGCTTCTAAGGGATTCCCCTAAGGGAGGGATTCCGTCCCCATTCAGATCCATCTCCGATTTTCCCCATTCAGTATACTTTGCTTAATATATAGACAACTAGCCAATTACATCAGCACTTACATTACATATAACATCATATAACTATATGATACTATATGATACTATACATCCACATTTCTTAGTTTCCTGATATTTCGTGCCATGGCGATTTGGCCATGGCGTGCCGAGGCCGGGTCATCTCCCAGTACGCTTGCAACACGCAGATGTGCTGGTGCTGTACACAGGTGACCCGACGACGGTGACCGGATGTGACCGGTGACCGGTGACCGATGCCATTTTCATAGGCCCGGTTGCCTTAGAAAAGTGGCTGAATTCTATGGCTTATGTGGTTTAATGGTGGTTTAATGGTGGTTTAATGGGATAAAACACCAACAAAAATGGTGATTTTAATGGGATTTACCCCCTGGTAATTTAACAGTTGGACCCTGAAAATGACCTATTTATAGTGGAAACTAGTCTTCCAACCCCGATGAATGGCAGGGTCTAGGTTAATTTACTGGAGGGTAAGTATGAGATAACTATAGTATTCATGGGGTTTATAACCAACGTTCACATCACTGGGCCCCATCCTGTACCATTTGGTTTATAGATGTCTATAGTCATCTAAAGTCTCTATAGTCATAATAGTTATTCAAATTCTGTTTATACTATAGCCAATTGTCATATAGCCTATACTGGTATATATATATATAGTCTATACTTTAGCAGTCCGGTTGGCCGGTTTATCCACTAAATTCTACTTATACTATAGTCAATGGTCATCTATAGCATATATATATATCTATAGTCATCTATAACATGATATATCTATAGCTAAAGCATGCTAGCGCCATAAAAATGGCCCTTTATTTAGGGGTGCTTTTGTCGTTCAGTCCGCAGGCGCAGATGATGCGACTCATCCAGATGGCCTTGGAGCTCAGTGGGAATCGCTTGGATCCGCTTGTTTGATCAATGGGAATATCCCCAGAAAATATGGCCTGAAAAATGGTACTAACGTACCTCCATTTTAGGATCCTGAAATTTCCATTGATTTGAGGAACCAACAAATATCATGGCCTACCATGGTTTCCTATATATGGTCTGGGTAAATTTCATCACGACCTCACATCGCGACCGAGCCCTGGAATCATAGTTAATAAGGGAAATCATCCCCAGATGGGCCTTAATTCAGGTTAGTGACATATTATGAAATATTATAATTTACCCAGATATGGTGGTTTAATGGGATTTTATGGTGGTTTAATGGGATCTAATGGGATTTAATAGGATTTACCCCTCTGGTAAACGTTTACATAGCTATGGAAAATCACAATGTTTAATGGGAAAATCAACTATTTCGACTGGGCCATTTTCAATAGCTACGTTAAGTTACCAGAGGGTAACGTCGACCCTCAGAATCAACCATTTTTGGGAAGATTTTCTGGGTCCGTGTTGTTTGTTGAGGGGAAGGTGGCGTGATTTAACCAAAGGTTGTGATTCAAGTCACAAACATGCCCATTTCTAATTCCAACTGCACCACCAAGTGAGGACATGGATCGTGATTGGGCGTGTCCCACGTCATTAAAAAAAATTGGGATAGGTCAAAGATGTCAAAGTCATCCACAGAAATGGAGGCGAAGCCGCCGTTGATGCAACATCTTGATTCGCTGCAAATTGGAGGATTGCATGAAAGTTAAAGTTCACCAAACTGGGTCATACCTATATATATATATAATTATATATAGATCTCTCACGATCTATCAATATATTCAATTCAATATGAATATATATGAATATATGTTTCAGATTTAGTCTTAGTTCCAAGCCATTCCCTTCTTGGTAATTGGTTACATAGCTATTGAACATGGCCATAGAAATAGTTGATTTTCCCATAAAAAATGGTGATTTCCCATGGTTATCCATAGTTACGTTAGTTTACCGGAGGGCTCCCAGTCGGGAGCACCCTGTGCTTGGGGAGCTCAGCGGCGAACAAAAACCAAGGAGCGCAGCTACGATTTCATCAATTTCCACTGCAAAAAGTCCCCCAGATCCACTGGTTGAGCATCATTTTCCCAAAACAAAACTAACATAGCTATGGAAAATCACCATTTATAGTGGATTTTCCCATGAAAAGCATGGTGATTTTCCAGTTCGTTATTTAACAGACAGTTTACCAGAGGGTAAAATCTCAAGAATTCATGGTTGACTTACTGGTGCGTTTTACGTAGGCTTGCTGGATGGGTTGCTGGGGGTTGCTGGGATGATGAAATTACTAGTGATGACTGGGATCAATTCCCGAAAATTCCCTGCGTTTCGCACGCGCCAGTAAGTTTTGGTCAACATATGGCCTATGACTATGGAAAATATCATGGTCAATGCCATCTATGGTTAATCTATGGTTAATCTATGCCAGTAAGTTTTTGTCAACCATCCACTGGTCAATGATTCACCCCCCATCCCGGCCTCGCTCCCCTGGATTCCCTGGATGCCAAGGCCCGGGGAGTCATGGAAGTCTTCAGTGGGAGCGGGGCTCGGCGGGCTCGGAAACCATCCCCAAATCCTCCGTGGCTCGTGCTATATTTCCTCTTATGACATACGGATCATATGGTATGATATGGTATGATATGGTATGATCTCCCAACTTATTGCGTGGTTATAAGTTACTTAAAGTATCTTAAAGTTATAAGTTACTTAAAGTTACTTATAAGTTACTTAAGGTATCTTATTGATACCCATCAACAACTTTCAGCTCCGAAACATCAACTGGGACATGTCCTTGCGGAAAAAAGCGTCCAGACATGTTTCAAGGATGCTTCTGGAAGTCTAGGCATCCGCTTCATTGGTTCAACCTACCATTCTTAAGATATCATTATACTTATCTATACTTATATATATATATTTATGTTTAACATTTAACATTTTTATTTCCAGATGATTACCCTCTTGTTATGTCAAAATAGCTATTGAAAATGGCACATTTATAGTGGATTTGATTTACCCACTAATAGCATGGTGATTTTCCATAAAAATGCTAGTTTACAGAGGGTATATGGAAGTTCCTCTTCCATCCTGTCTTCAAATCCCATGTGCGCATGTTTGAGTGAACATTTACGGGGACACCGCATCATTTAGATGCTACTTTCAGATGAATTCCTCATTATTCCTCCTTAAGATTTGTGCCATGGTTAAAAAATGATTATATATCTGATTGGTGCTTTGGAACAGTTGGATTGTTTTTCCATATGTTGGGAATGTCATCATCCCAAGTGACTCACTTAATTTTTCAGAGGGGTAGGTAGGTTGAAACCACCAACCAGTTGTAGTTGCGGACCGGTCTTGCGGGATAGACATCCCTGGGGACATCCTGGGATTAATCCCATGGTGAATGGTGATACCCTTTTTGCATCCCACCATTGATTCTACCATCGATTCTTGAACCCCCCCTGATATCTCCCTGATATCTCCATATATTCCAACAGTTTGTGCTTTAATTTTTCTCTTCATCCGAGAAATAAACATCGGATGGTGACAACGGCACTGCGCCGAGATCTTCAAAATCACCACGGGTCCCTGAGAAGCGCAGCTGCGAATGGCTGCGCGGCCTCGAAAAGTGCGGGGTCGGAGGTATATCCTTAGAGGATCATCCCAGGGACCAGGGATCGTATCATGATGATGATGATTATTATTATTATCATTATTATTATCATTATCATCATGATATGTCCTTTATAATACATGCATATACACATATATATATAATATCACTATTATTATCATCATCTCTATATACATTCAAAACGAGATGCCGCTGGTCCCATGATTTTCAGGTTGAAGGATACAGCGAGCCTCAAAGCCCAACGGTGATCACATTCGTCCCGAACGCCGTTTGTGATCCCAAATGGTAACTCGGGATACTCCGCAAACACTAAGCACTTGCTAAATGAATGGCCATTTCAGGATCCTAAATTGGAGGTACCTACCATATATAAGGCCTATGTAAGCGGCCTATGTAAGGGAATATCCCCACAAAATATGGCCTGAAAAATGGTACTAACGTACCTCCATTTTAGGATCCTGGAGATCTCCCATTGACTAAATGAACGATGTAATATGATGTAGTGTGTGAACCCAATGCCACAAAACACCCCAATGACGCAGAAATGGGTGCTATGGGATATCTGGGAAATGGGTGACATAATTTCATTGACGCGAAAGGTAGATAAGATAAGTAACCACATGGACCCAAATGGCAATCTGGTTAGTAGACTCGGGTCACACACACACATATTTACGAGTATATATATATATATTATATATAATATACACAGTACATATGTATACATGTGTATTTGCCACCAAGCAGATACTGTATGTATACGTAAACCCAAATAGGAAGATCATCACCTATGGCCATTCACCGCATCTATTTGAGCTATACAACGGATGGTTCAAATTGGGGCTGTACCTGGCTATGTCAAGCAGGAAGTAAAGTGAAACTAGCAATCAGGCTGTATTGGCTGGTACAGGTACAGGTATGGTCTATATGACTTTCGGGGTCAATGGCTGCTGGCGTTCAACCAGTGCACATCCAGATAGGGCTCACTAGAAATGGTGTTGCTGCTGAAATGCGGGCTTCGCAAAAAAAACATAACTGTTTTACTGAAATCAACTAGTTCGGTGGATTTTTAGAGCCTTCACACTTTGTGAAACGCTCAAACTGATATTTGCTCTGCCGCATTCTTGCTCCAGTGGTCGCATGGCAGCCGCCCCGCTTAAAGCGGGCGCGGGCTGACCGTGTGGGGAGAACCGGGCATGGCAGATGACACCAATGACAAAGGCAGGGAATGGGGGGGTCTTGGCGGATCATACCTCGGTGTGCAGTTCCAGTTTTGAGTGGTCACATACCCAAAATTCCAGGAATTATCTCCCAACTTATGGAGGTTATCACTATTGTATCCATTAGTGATCCCAACTGCACCCCCAAGTAGTGAATATTTGCCCGGAAACCTGCTTTAGAAGAATTGGGGATTTGGAAGATGGTTAATTATTGTCAATGAAACTGCCATTCTTGGTTTGTATATTGTCGATCATTGAGGAGAAAGTTGTTGGCAATAGTCACTAAAACAATGCAAGCGCTGCTGGAAGTAAATTATCCAAGCGTAAATGCTTGACGTGAAAATGGCCCTGCAAAATCCATGAATTTCAGCATTCAGCATGCAGCACCACTTTTCTGCGCGAAGATCCATTGAACAGTTCACACACACACATGACCATCATCACCATGTTTATGTCCAAAATTCAATCCGTAAACTTCATTTTACCCTTTGGTAAACTAACATAGCTATTGAAAATGGCCCATTTATAGTTGATTTACCCATTAAAAATGGTGATTTCCCATAGTTATGAAACGTTTACCAGAGGGTAACTTTGGTAAATCACTGGGCCCTTTCGGCTCCCCATGGGCGCCTCAGCTAGGTCTAGACACGCCGCCACCGGTGCTGCTGACACCGGCGGCACCAGTGCTGCTGGTGCCTGACAAATCGTTGCCGCGGCCGGTGAGTCGTGATGGGAAGAGGAACAGCTCTAGACCAGGCAGCCGTGAAGCCAAGGTGCGAAGTGAAAAACTGCTTGGTGGTTTGGAAATGTTTGGAACATGAATTTTATGACTTTCCCATCATATTGGGAATTTCATCATCCCAACTGACGAAGTCCATCATTTTTCAGAGGGGTTGGTTGAAACCACCAACCAGAAAAAAATTGGGGAAACAACTGGGCAGTGAACAGAAAAAACCCTTGGAAAGTGTGCAAAGTCAGATGTTTGGGGGAACAAAAGGTGAAACAAGGCAGAACTTTTGGGAGTTGAGTCAGGTTGGAGCGGGAAAGACTAAGAAACCTTGTTGGCCTGAAAGTTAACGGCCACATCAAACGACCACCATTTCTTCTTGGTAAAACACATGTTCATTCGTGAATCAGTACCTTTGTTGGTCAAAACCGCTATTTTTGTTGGTAAAATGGTGGTAAAAGCAACATTTTTGATTCAATTTTCGGTGGGTAAAACCACCGAATTTTTGTGGGTCAAACCTCTCCGAAGCCCCACTGGTTCGCTCCAGGGCCTAAGCCCGCCCACCTCGCCGACCATGCGCAAGTCATTTCTAACACCGCCCAGCAGGCGGAAGCAGCGAGATGGGGATTTTTTTCTTCAGGGTTACCCCCTGCTGTAAACTAACAGTTCGATGTTTTTGTTATTTTTTTTCAGGGTTACCCGGACCCCCCATGTAAACTGACAGTTCGATATCAGTTCGATGATATAAGTGTGGGTTTACCCCGTGTTTGAAACGATCATTTTCCGAAAGGATATGGGGCCCCCCAGTGATGTGAACGTTGGTTTACAAACCATGAAATAATCCCCATGAATACGATAGTTATATCCACCATGAACCATAGAATTCAGCCACTTACGTTCACCAACTGAACGCTATACTAGCCGCTATACTTAGCTATCGACTGGGGGCCCCATCCCGTAGGGAAAGCATTGCTTTTCCACATCTCACCACTGGAGAAATTTGCACCCCCTCCAGCCAGGTGACCCCCAAAAAATGTTTCGGCGAAGCTTGACCACCGGCACCACTAAAGGCTTAAAGGCTAAATTAACCATCCATTATTAGGGAGGTCTTGTTTGGGGTTGGATCAGTTGGATCCTATGATTTTTGCGGATTAATGATGTTTCGTTAGTGCTTTTAGTATCTTTTAGTTGGAACCATGATGACTGCCTTCACAAGGCAGTTGCAAACAGGGATCGTTATCCTGGTGGTTTCATTTCAATTTCCGAAGTACTTTGGGATACAACAAACAGGCTGGGCTACAGCTGTTTCATGCTATTTCCGGCACCAAAGCCACCAACATCTGTAGCGGTTTTCCCATCTTTTTGGGCAACTTCGCAGGAACCCAAGCAGCCGTAGCTAGTTTCTAGAAAGCTCCAGCTCCATGGATGAACCATGTGACCATAAAAACCATTCCCAAACTAAGGTTATTAGGAGTTTTTATTTGGATCTTTCTGATCCATCTGCAAATTCAAATCGATTCAAATTCTGTACTTCAATGCTTGAGTCCTTTGCCACAAATATGCACTAGCTATCACTAGCTACATAATTTTGTTGTGCCGGGTACCTAAGATTAGCAATCTTCATGTCGAGGACATGTCCTAAGTGCTCCGCCGTTACCTGCTTGGCTCCGCTGGGCGAGAAAACACACGCCATGGCGGGCGCGGCACCAGCACGGCTGAGTGTGCAGGTTAAGGAATGCGGCAGGCGAGAACCAGCCCCGCAAATGTATAGGGCAAAAGCAGCTGGGACAAGGGGCTGAGGAGATCATATTACTGTATCATGATGTATCATGGGCCATTCTGAATTTGGTGTCTCCAGCTTAGCAACGTGCAAGCCTGAGACTTGTGACCTGCGTCTGTGTATAGCGACCTCGCAAGGACCTCACAGAAAATGATAGTTGGTGTGGTTACATCATATTACCCTCTGGTAATTTGTGAAGCAGTTTGCGAACTTGAAAATGGCCCAGTCGAAATAGTTGATTTTCCCATTGAAAATGGTGATGTTCCATAGTTATATTAGTTTACCAGAGGGTAAATCCACACTGGGAAACGGCGAAAAAATGGGCCTTGGGACGGTAGGACACTGGATTGGTCCCGACTATGTTCTTTGCTCGAGAGGAGGACGCAGCTTGGTGCCTCATACCACTTAGTAAGTGGGTTATAACATGTTATAACCCCAGTTATAAATGGGATAAGTAGGGTTAATCCACTTATAACTGGGGTTATAACCCACTTACTAAGTGGTATGAGGCACCAAGAGTGGAAGCGCTCGACGACAGCGAAACCATGGAAGATGTTCTTTGAGATGGATTTTTTGGTGGGGCAGCGACGTTTTTTCCCACTTACCAAACAAAAAACACATCCAATTCACATCTGCTTTTGCAGCCGTTTCCTAATTACCCTCTGGTAAACTGTTACATAACGAACTGGAAAATCACCATGCTATGAAAATGGGTAGTCATCAACTATTTCGACTGGTCCATTTTCAAGTTCGCAAACTGCTTCACAAATTACCAGGTGGGAAATCCCATTAAAATCACAATTCTTGTTGGTTAGATCCCATTAAACCACCATTAATATATGTTTACCAGGTGGGGTAATAAATTGCGGAGTTTCAACTTGAAACACCACGGGCGCCTTTCCACGGGCGCTTTTCCACGCTGGGATGGTCGATTTTGTGGATCTCAAATTCGACATCCCAATGATGCCACAGACATGACTAGGGATCTTCATGGATCTTCCACATGTATGTATATATATATACATGTGGAAGATCCATGAATATATATATATATATAATAATAATAATATATATATAATATATAATATATATAATATATATATAATATATATAATATATATAATATATATAATATATATATATAATAAAAATAATATATATATATAATGTAGTTCCACGTTGGTAGACCCATGATTGATCAAATGCCAACATCCCAGGCAAACCTCAGAATCCTAAATCCGTCTAAATCCTAGTTTGAGGCTGTCAAAGACAGCTAAAAAGTGAAAAACAAGCTAATTCCATTTAATTCCCATTATTTCCCCACCTATTAATAAAGTTTTACTGTATCTTGCTTTATCATCACTTGATCTGCACTTTCTACTCAAATTTGGCGCCCATGACTTAAACATCAGGAATCTCAACAGGCCTTCGTTTCCGCCGTTTCCACGGCCGCCAAAATCCACATTTTCTCAGATTTTCTCATGGCCAAAATCCATCAAAACCCCGGCCATTTCGCCATCGGCAGGAAGGACTTTGTAGATGTGGACGTGGTGTCCCTGAGCGCAGCCATGAACCTCTTTGCCAAGGTGCGGTGTAAAAACCGATTTTTCGGAAGATGATCTGAGGATACATTCCCTTCCCCTTATACACACACACACATATATATACTATATATATACACACATATTGTAAACATGATAGTAAACACATCCAATTTAGTTGGACCCTAAATTGGAGCCAATATGAAACTGGGCCGAATATGTCATGGGGATGGGATTAACTGACAGCCCCACACAAAATGTGGTCGAGTTGATGTCGAACATTTTGAGCCGCCAAAAATGGCTGGTAGAAACTAGTAGAAACCGATGATTTCGAGGTTTATGGGCTTGGGTTTCCTAAATTGTTGATGGGCATATTTGTTGAACAAATAGGGGGTTCCAATCCATGGGGGTCTCCAAAAATGGTTGGTTTATTTCATGGAAAATCCCATCTATAATGGATGATAACTGCGGGTACCCCTATTTCAGGAAGGCACCAAATAGGGAACCCCCCAGATCATCCAATTTGTTGATTGTTGTCAATAGCTTCACCATTGGTTTTAGGCTACCCATATCTTTGGGATGGTTGCTGACTCTGCACATGATGACCCCCTCATTAATGACTAAACCGATAGATTCAATAAACAAAGAAATACGTAATACATATATAGACACACAATTACACACATGCATATGAAGATGCATACATAAATACATACCAAACACATGCGCAGACATACATGCACAGATAACATTCATGATGATATCAGAAACACTCTTACAAACATTTGCGGATTTTCTGGGTCTGTTTAGTGTGTGAAAAGTCAAAGATTATGGACTTCTGATACCATATTCATAGATGATATCAGAACCACTCATCATATTCATTAACTTTTCCTGGGCCAAAACATCACGGAAAATTCTTCCATGTATGAATATGATGAAAGGTTCCATATGTGGAGGTGATGTATACCATATATAGAATCACGGATTCTGAATATTTTCCCGAGGTGGTGCAGTGGCAGCGAGCCATTGACCTCTTGCACAGCTCGTCCTCTCAGGACGGCGACGGACCGGCTGGACATAATTTTCCGCGCTGAGCTGCGCACAGAAACCGCAGTTTAAAACGTGTCTTTTTTGGAGACTTAAATGTTTTCCAAACTAATCTCCAAATAAGTTTTTTTTTTTTTTAAATGGCACTTTTACTATTTTTGAATTTGCCATGGCAATCTCTAAATAGGATTCTATGATCTTTTTAGCCAACGGAGAATTGAACCTTTGCAATCAGCCAGTCGTCAACAGTCATCATTGGTATACTGCTATGAATTGTAGCATGGTCATCAAAAAGATACCAATGGGAAATCCAATCTATTCATTACATGTCCATTTTTGGGATTTCCCATTTGGCAGTGTGTCAAAACCAATAGTACCCCTGTAGTTCAGATCAAAATAGCTGGGTTAAAATGGATGTTCATCCCATTAAAAATGGTATTAATAGATATTGATCCATACCCATAGTCATAAATTGATTTATAAATCCCATTAACTATAGTTATAAGTACCATAAACCATAGTTATTGGAGTTATAAACCATAGTTATTAGCCGCTGGCTTCAGCTGAAGAATGGGCTCCTGTCGTCCAGTTTTAGGAGCTTCGTCCCAACGAGCGAAGTTGTCACGCCTGCCTGGTGGCCTGTGACAAGGCGGGCGGCGGTGCCTTGTGGTCGCGTGCCCTGTGGCTTTTCAACGGAAACTGGGACGGCTGGAACCAGTTACCCGGCCTGGTAAACATACAAAAAACTGATGGGAAAATCATCATTTTTGATGGTTAAATCAACTATGTCTATGGCTATGTTCAATAGCTATGTTAGTTTACCAGAGGGTACAAGATGTTACAAGGTGAGGACGCAGAACTTGGTGAATCCTAGGGTTTTTGGAGGGTATAGTATAGTAATGGGTTTACATACCAACTTATAACTGTTCACCTTGTAAGATGGATGTTCTATGTAGCGTTCTATGTAGCTGGGGCATAACTACACACTGTAATATAACATACTGTGTACACACACAGAGATATAATACATATATATATATATGCATATATATATATATGCATATATATATATGTATGTGTGTGTGCGTATGCATATGTATATATATATATATAATTTCTCAGACACACACACATATATATACATACATAGATTCTAGATGCAGAAATTGGTAGGATAAGATTAGGTTGGCTTAGTTTCAATTTGATTGGATTGCTCTAGATTAGATTAGACTAGATTAGATCGATAGGTCATACTTAACTCGTCAAAACGCCCAGTACAACCAGTGATAGTCACGGGAATCATCAACCGAAACATCTAGGGTGTCCGTTTCGGTTATGGCAAGAGCTGTCCGTTTTTCCATTTTGATCGTTTTTGGCTTGAAAAAAGAGCATTTTTCCTCTTATGTTTGTAGGTTATTTGCGGAAGGGTGTTAAAGCTGGAGACTTCAGCGACCATCCAAGCCGCCTGAATGGTGGCCTGCCAATGGGGTGACCTAAAGTTGCGATCCTCAATTGCAATAACTTTGACTAAAATCTGTGACTGGAGAATGCGGTATTTCTAGAGAATTCTACAAAGTATGCGCATGGAATTTAGGCTTTCACCACAGTTTTTTTTTCCAAAAGGTCTGCATCATGACCCCACGACCATGAAGCGTCCAATGGGTGACATCTCCGGACCGTTTCCAGAGCCACAGAGGCTTTCACCATGTGCCATCCACCAAAAACAGTTCGAAATGGTGTGAACAGTTGATCTTGCCACAGGATATTGAACTGGTATTTCTTCCACCTCCGGCCACTTCCATCTTTGATGTTCCATAAATTGGGTTCTTAAGATATCCAAAATCTTCAACTTGGCGAATTAGGAACCACATTTTGGATCTGGTTGGTGGTTTGGAACATGAATTTTATTTTTCAATATATTGGGAATCTCATCATCCCAACTGACGAAGTCATATTTTTCAGAGGGGTTGGTTGAAACCACCAACCAGATTATTATTAACCATCACTAACCATATATTAACAGTCTATTAACCATATATATATATATTTACCATATATTAAAGTACATTAAACCATATATTAACCATATATTAACCATATATCAACCATATATTAGCCATATATTTACCATATATTAAAGTATATTAACCATATATTAACCATATATCAACCATATATTAGCCATATATTTACCATATATTAAAGTATATTAACCATATATTAACCATATATTTACCATATATTAAAGTATATTAAACCATATATTCACCCCATATTAACCAAATATTCACCATATATTAACCATATATTAACCATATATTAACCATATATTATCCATATATTAACCATATATTAACCGTATACCACCAGCCAGAGATGAAATTGGGAATCTTTCCCTTTTTCCAGATCCCAGGAAGTTCATCAAATTGGGCACCGCCTGATCCCACGAATGCACCGAGGAATGCCTGGATCGACCCTGCAACAGAACACTTTCGTGCAATGCGCCGCTGTGACTGCCGTGCCATGGCCATGCACCGCAGTGATGGTGCTCGTGGGACGGAAGAAAATCTCCAGAAATGTCCAGAAATGATGTGGTTTAATGGTGCTTTAACCATGAAAAATGGTGATTTAATGGGATTTAACTATGAAAAATGGTAACTTAATGGGATTTAACTATGAAAAATTGTGGTTTTTCATGGAATTTAAGCAACGAAAATCTGGTGATTTCTAGATGGGATTTACCCTCTAGTAATTTGTGAACCAGTTTGCGAACTTGAAAATGGCCCATAGAAATAGTTGATTTACCTCTTAAAGATGGTGATTTTCCATAGCTATGTTAGTTTACCGGAGGGTATGTCGTACCAGAACACAGAGGTACAATTGGTATCGGTGGCATATGGTTTGACAGATACAGATTCATAGATTGATGAGTGAAGCTAGTCGTAAACGAACTGTCGCATCATTGATAACATACATTTCTAGACTTACAGACCCTTAAACATCAAACGGTTTGCTTTGTGAAATCCCAATTTCTACAATGTGGGGCCCCCCAGTTATAAGTTGGTTTATAAACCCCATGAATAGTATAGGTATTTGCGTACCACAAACCATAATGAAATTGGAGTTATGTGAACCAACTGAACGCTATCTAACGGGGGCCCCACATTGATGGTTTACCAAGTAACAACAGGGAAGAGTGATTGAACAGAAATCTCCCAGCTGCCATGATGTCATCCAGCGAGGTGGCCCGAGATGAATGGCAGTGCCTCGGAAATCTGCGACGATGGCGTGTGTACCCTAAACCCAGTAAATCAGATGGCTTTCATAGGGAAAATTGTGGTGTTTACCATCAATGTGGGGCCCCCGTTCGGAATCTCGTTCAGTTGGGGTGAACTAAAAACTCCAATTTCACGAACTGGTTTATGGTACGCAAATAACGAACTAGTATTCATGGGGTTTATAAACCAACAAACATCACTGGGGGGCCCCACATTGATGAAAATCCCAGTAAATTAGTAAATCTCTACGGGGATGTTCTTTACCTGATCTTTTTCACCAGGTTTCGATTCAAGGGTATCACCATAGATACTCGGTTGGTTTTTGAATTGTATTTGGTAGAGTTGCTGTAGCCCAATGTGTCCATAATATGTCATATTTATGTTTTCAGATATCCTTTAATATTTGGTAGCCAGGTGATGCTCCGGTAAGTCCCTAGATTCATCATTATTACCCTTCATGTGGAGTGTTATCATTATCATTACTGTTATTTAGCACCATGAAAATTACTGAAATCATTCTTCATATTACTACATTGTTATCATTTATATTTATATCATTAAAATTTTTATCACCATTAATAATGATAATGATAATGTTGGTTACTTTAAGTTACTTAATCACCATTAAATTACCAGTATTATCATTACTAAAACAAAAATTGACATCACTAGAATTAGTATTGTCTTCTCTATGGAGAGGGACATTCCTTGTAGGGACACTCCTAGAACATTCCTTTTTATTCACTTTAATTCGACATATTTCAATTTCATTCCAAATAATTCCATTTCATTCCAAATTTATTTTTCATTCCAAAAAAAAATCATTCATGTTGTTAAGGTTATTTCAAAGGAATATTTCAGGATTTGTTGTTATTATTTATTTTGTTTGGCGTTTTTTTTTTGATTTGTTTTTTCTCTTAAAAAAATATGTTTTTTCCTTTTATTTTTTTTTCATTGTTTATTATTATCATTTTTTTTATTGCTTTTGTTCTTTTGTTTTTTTCAACATATTTTCAACTTTTTTTTGAAAAAATAAAGTTTTCTTTTTTCCGGAATTCGTTCAGTTTTTTTTCGATGTTTTCTTTTAATGTTTTTGAATTCGCTTTGGAATGTTTGGATTGATTTTTTTTTTTGGGGGGTTGTTGTTCTTTTGGATTTCCATTATATGTTTTTATTGAGTTTTTGAGATTTTTTCAGAATCTTTAAGTTTTTTCTTGGTAATAATAGCAACTTTTAGGAGTAGCCTTTACGGCCTGCACTGAGGACTGAAGCTTGAGACTTCAAGGGAGTCGTTGAACAGAACATAGAATTTAAGCTCAACATATCTATCTATCTATCTATATATATATATACATATATATATATATATACACCAACAGATTATATATTATGCAATCATATGCAATTACAAATAATATCGGATATTGTAGGCACACACACTAGTACGTACTCTGCGATACGTCGGCTTTCCCGTGGCGATGTGCTTTTGTTATGCCACGCGCTATTATATGGACAAGGTATTTAAACCGTGGTTCACCTTCAATGTTCTGGGCGTAAGCAATGCGCCTTGAGGGCTGAGCTAGCTGACGCTTCGTGGGATCAGCTTTGAAGGATAGAAAACAAAGCGCGTTTGTTTGATCACAGAGCGTCTTGTCAGAGTGAAGCGCCTACCTTGCACGGTCAGTCAATGGTCAAAGATGGAGGATTGCGATTGCCAGATGCGAGATTCACACGATCAGCATGGATACGGAACAGGATTGCTTGTGATATGCATATATATATATGTGTGTGTGTATGTATGTATGTATGCATGTTTGTTTGTTTGTTTGTTTGTTTGTTTGTTTGTTTGTACTGTATTGTATTGTATTGTATTGCATTGCATTGCATTGTATTGTATGTAATGTATGTCTGTATGTATGTATGCATGCATGTATGCATGTATGTGTGTAAATACGAGTTTTATGAGTCTCTCAACTCTAGCCCCTTTGCATGCCTCCATTCAATTCCTCGCTTGTGCCCGTGGACAGAGGTTCCTTTGCGAGGACCGTTGCGGGAATGGCAGCCTTGCGATGGGCGGACATGTATGGGGGCAGTGGTGATGATAGCGAAAGTGTGGGTTTCGGGCCTTGGGAGGGCAGGGCACCTCAACAGAACGGTGACGAGGAGAAGAAGCAAACCAAAGACAAAACGACCCCTGGGGAACGAGGAAAGGCAGCGGGAAGAGGAGGGTGAGCTCAGATCAGCTGCTTTCTCACAAGAGCTACCCCTGAAAATCGAACCCGGGAGCTCTGAGCAACAGCTTGCGGGGCGGCTCTGTCAAGCTGTGTGTGAGAGCTCGGACCTGGAGCTGTGGGTTGACTGAGATGAACCTGTCATTCCTCTGCGCCTGCGACGAGCCCATAGTAGTACTGGGAAGTGATTCATGAAAGCTTAGATGACATATGAGAAGAGATGAGCTGGGATAAGGTGAGAAGCTCAGATGAGATGAAGTGTGGAGTGTGAAGAGTGCAGTGTGAAGTGCGGGGCGTGAAGAGTGCAGTGTGAAGTTTGGAGTGTGAAGTGTGAAGTGTGGAGTGTGAAGAAAGCAGTGAGAAGTGAGAAGTGTGAAGTGTGGACTGTGAAGTGTGAAGTGTGGAGTGTGAAGTGTGAAGAGTGTGGAGTGGGAAGAGTGCAGTGTGGAGTGTGAAGTGTGGAGTGTGAAGTGTGGAGTGTGAAGAGCGCAGTGAGAAGTGTGAAGCGCGAATTGGAGCTTCAAATGTGACATGTGAAACAGGACACGCACGGACTTGGCTGGCGCACGGCGCATGCAAGTTCTATAGTTGAGAAAGGTCTTATATATCCCTAAGGCAACTTCCGCCCCGCCTCGTGCGGGTACTATACAGGTAACCATCATTAGTCACTATAACCACTATTAATCACCATTTATGACAAGTTATAACTAATAACCAGTCCCCGCCTCAGCGGACGACGAGCCAGTCTGGCCCCCACCAGCTTTCGAACAGGTGGGTCCCCCAGAGGACCCACCCGTCCTTGTGCCAGCCAAGCACTGCGACCTCGTCGTCGATTTCAAGACCCTGCCATGGCTGGGCCACGGCTGGGCCACGGCCGAGAACCGCGTGTAACCCCGCCACCAATTGTAGCAGGACACTAGCTCCTCAGCCGTTGACACCCCATCCCTGCATCGTGGCAGGTGGAGACCTTTGCGACCACGCTGCTGTGCCACCTTAAACAACATGAGTTTCAAGATCTAAAGAACTTAGATGTGTGGCATTGGTGGCGGGGTTACACGCGGTTCTCGGCCGTGGCCCAGCCGTGGCACAGCCATGGCAGGGTCTTGAAATCGACGATGAGGTCGCGGTGCTTGGCTGGCACAAGGACGGGTGGGTCCTCTGGGGGGCTCACCTGTTCGAAAGTTGGTGGGGGCCAGACTGGCTCGTCGTCCGCTGAGGCGGAGACTGGTTATTAGTTATAACTGGTCATAAATGGTGATTAATAGTGGTTAATAGTGACTAATGATGGTTAAAACTTATTATTTCTATGGAGTTATACATTCCATAAATGGGATTATAAGTACTTATAACTGGTAAAGGGCCATAACTGTATCTCCTGGGGAAAAATGCATTTATGACCCGAAAAAGTGTCAATTCAAAGATGCCAGGCGACTGATTTAACAAGATGTACTGTTTGTCTGTGTGTCATTGCGTTTATGATTGGATAGACAGCACACAGTAGCATTATTTTCATGTGTGTACATTTCGGCTTTGACTGGTGGGGCGTAGCGCGCTTACACACAAGATTCTGACTGGCGGGTTGCTTTCAATGGTAGCGGATTGATTGCCAGCTACCCCGAATTTCAATATTCTCCGCAACTGGGAGATGTATTGGAGCCAGGTTGAAATTGCCCAGCGCATGGAATGGCCCCAGACCAGCGAGGAGCACATGGCGCTGGTGCGGGGCATTTCATCGCATGAGTGGCTTTCCTGTCTCCGGGAATCTGACATGGGCATGCTACTGGATGAAGATGATTGGCCAATCGCTCCAATCGCTGACTTGGAGCTGGAGACGCGCTACGGGCCCCGGCGGTTCCATGTGTGGAAACCCCCTGGTCACGATGCGATCTTGATCGCAAAGCGCCGAAGCCAAGAGCACATGGTTGTCACATGCGCGTTGACAGCGTTTGAGGGAGAGATTGAAGCGTCGTTTTTCCTGTTGAGTTGGGGAGTGCCTCGGCAAAACCGTTTTCGAGGTGAGCCCATTCCAGCAAGAGTTGTTTGTGGCCAATTTGAAGCAGGCAGCTGTTGAGCTAGCTGTGGAACAGAACAACATAGAATCGAAGCACCAGCAATTGCAGGTGGTGCTGAGCGGATGCGGAGGCGTTCTCCCAGATGAAGTCCTGGTGTGGGAAGGTGCTGTCGTCACGCAAGACGCTTTGGACGGAGGCGCAGCAGCTGCAGCTGATCAGCACGATGCGGTGAGAGAGCGCATGCGCACCAGGGAAAAGATTTGTAGGGGCCTTTAATGATATTGACATCACTATTATCATATGATTAATAAAAAAATATTCATAATGTTACTAAAGTCATTGCGAATTTAATGCGGGTTATTAAGACCACTTCAAATCATCATTAAGACCCTTAATGTGGACTATTTATTATTATCGTGGTTTATATTATTGGCATTATTATTATCATCATTATCATCATTATCATTATTATCATCATATTCCATGATGTTTCTATTTAATAATTACTAATTAATAATTACTAATATAATAATTTGATGTTTATGTTTTTATTCACCATTAGGTCGATAGATGATTATCACCATATATTCTTGTTTTATCATTATTGTTCGACTCATATATCTCTGGTCAGCATTGTAATTATGTATTACTATTACTACTATAATCACAATTTTACTATTCTATTTTATGTTTTATTCACCATTGTCTTTGTCAATGGATTGGCTTAAAAAAACATCTACAGGAAACCATCGATTTTCCGAAATGAAATAGGCGTGTTTCCTGTAACATATCCCTCAAGCCAATCCATTGATATTCGCAAAATCAGGATCCGACTCAGGTCCAGTGATTAGCACACACACACATATATATATTAATGTTCAATATCTATCATCACCATTATTACTATAATCACTCTTCTATTACAGGATGGGGCGCTCCAGTTCTAAGTTGGTTTACAATCCCATCTAAACATAGTTATACGTATCATACACGATGGTTATTATAGCACCAACTTAGCGAACTGGGGCCCCATCCGGTATATATATATATGCTTTATTCACCATGGTCATTTGCAAAATGAGCAGTGTTCAAAACCCCTGTTGGTTGATGATACTAGGTAAGTTCGGGGATTACACTACCGTTCATATTAATTGGGGATTAAAATAATCCAAGAACGGGGAATCCCCAATAGAATTATTCATTATAAATCAGTAATGTACATTATTATTGGCGAATCGAATTATCCATTATAATTCATTAAAAAACCTATTGGGAATCCCTATACACCAACCAGTATTTTGAACACTGTTCATATTGAATGGACAAATACCTCTATTGAATGGATAAATCCCTCTATCATTATAAATTTATAGAGATTTCGTACAATATTAACCAACCCTAAACCAGTATTTCATGGAATGATCGAGGGGTTTTGAACGGTCAAATCAGGTGGCCTAGCGAGCTCCTCGTCTCCTGGCGCCACTCCTCCATCCCTCCGACGCTGGGCAGCTGCAACGCGGCGCGGGGAGCAGCGAGCCGCGCCTGGCGGCGTGTGCTGGGAACCACGCAGGTGCCACACAAAATGGATAGATGTCACCCAAACCTTGAGGAAATGATGGAGTTCAACAAAAATGATCTGAAATTTTGATTGTTTAAATTGATTTAAACCAACCAAATGGGGATTTGATCAGATCAAATGGTGGACTTGCGAAAGTTTTTTGAGGATTTCACCAGCCAAAAGTGAAGATGGGACATTGAATGGTATACAAAGGGAGATGGTTCCCAAGGACCTGGGATCTATAAAGAGATTGCGGAGGATTGCACCAGGGGAACGAGGATTTGCCAGAGAGATACTGGTTCATGGTGGATCAGCAAAATGAGAGTGGTACCCTGTGGGGGCCCCATTTTTACATTTCTTTTAGTGTTTTGTGATGTTTGTTTTGATCATTCATGTTGCTTTATACCCATAGCCTTTCCAAAAACGTGGAAAACTGGGCCGCCCGTGGGGTACCTTTCTGAACAACGTGGGGTTAAGAGAAGTGGCTTCTCGCAAAAATGAGGATCACCCATGAATTTCGTAGAGTTTTTTCATGATTCGACCAGCCAACATGTGGATTTGTTAACCGGTTTATTTAACAGACATGGATAATGATTAATGGGTTTGTCTGGAAATGACGGCTTCACAGCTGCAATTTGGATCAGGGGAATGAATTTGACAATGGCAGTCAAGGCTACCTGCTGGCGGGAGTGAGAGGTTAACTTGGCATATGCGGGGATTAATATCTAACAACCAAAGCTCGAGATCCATAAAATGGACAAGTTTTTTCCTCGAATTGTACAACACACGGAATTCAATTACTAGGATTCTAGGTGGTAAGAAAGTTCATGATCCTATCCATTTTACCATCAATTAATTTCTTACATTTTGCCATCATACCATCCAGCATCCCATCATTATCATGATGAATTTGCCAACATCCCATCCAGCGTGTTGGCTCTTGCCTCCACGCGAAAAAAAACACGTTTGGCAATTGGCCGCCGGTCACAAGCATTCTGAAACACAATTTCCCGGGACAGCCACTCAGCCTCAGTACTAGTATCAAGAGCAAACTTGCCGCGCAGGAACTACCAAACACGGGGATTAAATCATCAAAAGCACACCATAAATATTGAATGTCCCCCGAAGGAAGCCCTGCTGTATGGTTCATTTTTTGTTCTTACTAGAAGGTATTTCTAAAAAAGGGGAAAGGATGATCACTTTGAATGAAGAATTCTATTCGCGCCCCTACTTTGATTGACAGGACCTTGTCCGTCGGATACCGAGTTTGCTGTTTTTTCTGCACACAGCCATCTCTTTCCACATGCATGTATATATATATATATGTATACGTATAGATTCTCCAGGGGCTCGGTTCGCCAGAGGTTGTAGCTGGAGACCCTCCGTCACAGTGAAAAGCATGGGCCCATTGACCAACACAAAGTGGCGACAAAAGGCTGTTTGATCGAACCTTGTGGATACCTGTCCTGGGAGTAGTGGTCAGTATGTAGGCCATTATCCCACTTCAAGGGGCGCTGCCACTGCTTGATGACAGGATGTCCTTTGCCTGATTCACCAACAGGTGTTCAAATTCGTCAAGAAGATCGATTTATATCGTTTTTTTACTGTCACAAATTGGGGGAAACTTCAGATCAGCTTATCTAAGGCCGGGGGTCCATGCTGCATACCGGTTGCTTCTCATAACTTGATATAACTTGCCTGGCGGGGTTTCACATTGGTTGCATCCATTTATTGGAAATCAATCGATGACAACATAGTTCGTGGTATGGTTTGTGTGACGAGATCGGCACTGATTTAAAAGATGGTCGTAGTTATCTATAGGTTTAAACCTGTTTGGTTTGTGGTCTTTTGATGCCCGAGAAGGTATTCTTTTCCATCGCGAGTCCGCAACATGGCATGCCGGCGCCCAGGCCAAGGACAATACTGCCCAGACCAGTTTGCAAGGGCCACCCAATCTGACGACCACTACAACGATGAAATGCAAAGATCGCCGCGAAACTGCCGCAGAGGATCCCCGAGGTAACAGCATTAATCGCACCCAAATCGAAAACCAGCCATCCTTAACTTTTGGTTTGATTGGCTGCGCGTTGTTTCCCCTCGCCTTGGCTGTCCCATGAGAATAGGAGCATGGCCGTCCCGACAAAAGTCGGGCCACTTCTTCGTGGCATGCCCAGGCATTGATGCAACAGGGCAGCGTTCAGCCAGACATCATCAGCATCTTGGCAGCGCATGCATCACACTGGGGCCCCTTGACAGTTTTGGCTTGAGAAGGATTGGATTTGCCTGACACGTGTTACCGGCACATTTCAAAATCCATTGATTTGGAAAATGATTTGTCCAATGAAACGGCCATTTGGGGTATACCATGGTATTTTTATTCAAAATCCGGGTTGGTGGATGGTTTCCTGATTCGTTTTTGAAACACCCATTGTGTTTCCCAGCCTTGCTGCCACCATAGTAGCAATCACTAGTCACATGTGCAGATGCATATCTTGGAAAAAGGCAGGTAAATATATATAGCAAATCCAAAAAATATCCAACAATACACCTCACATCGGGGGATGGAAATCAATCTGCCATGGTATCATCCCAGCAGTTTGCCTGTGGACTGGCCGTCCCAGGCCACAACAGCATGTCCGAGCTCTTCGCAGAGCTGGGCGATTGGCGTCTCAGCGTGGACATGGCACAGCAGCAGCATGATGATGTGACGGCCACTTGGAAGCAATGAGCATTTCGGAGCGCAGCTGGGGTTGTTATATTATGTCATTTTATATGGGTTATTTCGACAAATTTTACAACCAGACATGGCAAATGGAGGTACGGTTGGGGTATAGCGGCTATAACAATCTATACGCATGGCGATTTCACCCCCAAACGCTGAGGCATAACATCTTATTACCAGCCCGTCCCGAGGCTAGCGATTGGGTTCCCATAAGATATTTGGGAAGCTGGTTGGATGGGTCTGGGTGACCAAGTCGCCATTCCGATGATCAGCTAGATGACCCTCCAGATGTCCGGAGTGTTTTTCGCACAGCCCTGAACTTAAATTTCGGACACCACTTGCCCGGAAAAAAATTGGTGGTATTTTGCGAAAGGTATAGAATGGTATAACAGCAGCAATACATATGTGTTGGAACATTGATATTTTTGCAAACTTTTGGTCAATTGGTTCATGCTGAGCCTGAATTTGTGGCCCAGATGGGGAACACATGGGGGAATCCTTTATCATGTTGGTTCCATATTTTCTTGGCAGTGTTTGCGCGTCGCCAACTAATTACAGTGCACTTTCGGGTCTCTCAACGCATGGGATATATGGTTTTGTTTTCAGCCTACCGGTCAAAATTCACATGTTTTCGGCCGCTTCCCGGGTCGTTTTGGGTAGAATGAACCCACATGAATTTCAAAGTCCAATGGGCTGAAATCACATCTGGTAAACTTGAAACAAACAAATTGCTGGTTGGCCGCACTGACATGCCTCTGAATGAGGATTTCACAGTCGCAGTGGATTTGGGGTTAAGAACCACCAACCATCCTAGCGTTGAGGGACAAACCATGATTGCAGTTAGGTCATTGCGTTTAACTATGTTTAACTCATACAAGTTTATATAACAATTCTTTGTTATATAATCATTGTTATCCGCAACCTGCATTTTTTTGCGTTGGAATTGCGTGTAATTATTCCATATTATTCCATGTGCAGACCAATCCATATCCCTGTATGGTTGCTCCTTTCTCCCAGCATGAAATAGTTGATGGTAGTTTCCTTTTCATCGGAATGGAAAATCAGACCGCCAGGTATATCCAGTAAAAAAATCTAAACATGCACACATAATCCCAAAACAGAGAAGTGGGAGAAGTATCATTTATATATTTCCCATAGGATCCATGTATGCTATACATGGTAACATTTACCATCAATATACCCCCAATGTTAGCATATAATTATACCATACATGGATCCTATGGGTTTGGGTATCATTTTACAGTTTTATCTTTTTTGGGGGGTTGTATTCCCGTAGACGCCTTAAAAGGTTGCCAGACTGAGGTGAACATCGCCCTCAAGGCCCTGTGCGAGGCGAGACCTGGGATGTGTTTTTTTCTCCTACAGGATGGGGCCCCCCAGTTATAAGTTGGTTTATAAACCATTATAACCCCCACTAACTATAGTTATATCTACCATAAACCATGGTTAAGCCACTTAAAAATGTACTGCAAACATCATAATAATATACCCGTCAATCGATCTTTTTATACTATAAAGATCTACAAAGTGTAAGATATGGAGCGGTGTGTTTTCACTGCAGAGGATCTAAGTCACGAATGCGTTCTCCCGGACGTTTCCACCGGGATTCCCGGCTGGAGATTGTCCAGCTGCGGACTGTTCCCTATCCACCACCTCAGATTTCTCTTGGTGTCATCATTTTTGGATGTTCTTGGTGCTTAAATCATCTTAAACTGCAGTCCAAGCTGGCTGAAAACCGACCGTTATCTTTGTATATGTTTGTTACATTGTCCAATAAACTATGATGATATGATGATATGATGTATTTACACATAGATAGACGATATGATATAGTGGTTGGAAGCCCCGACAATAAACATGCTTTATCTATTTTCATGTATCCTCATGCATATTCATGTATGCGTGTCATATAGAAATTATAGAATCATCGAAATCATCGATAGCTAGCCAGCAAATAGATAGCCTGCTAGATAGCTAGCCTGCTAGAGAGCTACTGCAGATGATACCCTTTGGTAATCAAACATGGCAGTGGAAAAACCACCGTTTAGTTCAATGATTCTCCCATTATCATCCGAAGCCATGTGACGGATGACACCAGAGGGTAACCACTATATTGGGGTTGTATATTATCCCCATATATCCCCATGTATCCTCATGATATAACTAATGATCTCAGCATTTTTACCGTGAAATCCTTCATGATCAATGGGAATTTCAGGATCCTAAAGTGGAGGTACTGTACCATTTTTCAGGCCATATTTTGTGGTGTATATCCCCTTACACAGCCCAAAAACAAATTTGGGTTCCTGAAATGGCCATTGATATAACATAACTATGGAAAACCACCGTTTATAGTGAATTTTCCCATGAATAGCATGGTGATTTTCCACGTTTTTTTGTAAACGTTTACCAGGCCGGGTATCTACTCATGAAGCCTGTCAAACTCGAAGGCCTCCCAATGGCCTTCGTCCTTGACCCACCTCGACGCTTCCGGCCCGGTGCGACGCTGGACACAGCTGCTGCGCAGCGCGCCGTGGAGAGGGGCGATGAAAGCGATGGACGCCATGTAGCGTGGGCTGCTGCGGGGGAAAGACATGGGGAAAGCATCCGAAAGTTGGGGATTTCATCCGGAAAAAACTAGGGTAACTGATTTAACCAGGATAGACCTTAGAGGAATTTGAAGAAATCTGGGATTTACAACCAGAAAGATGGATTTTGATTGACCGACATCTGGAAATATTTAAATCGAAACAGGTTGTGGACCAAACAGATTTGAACCAACCGGCATATATGCGCAGTATGGTTGCATTCCGAAAAGCATCCAAAAGCGATTTGGAATTGATTATAGAAACGCCCAAAATGATAGAAACCAGATTCATCACTCTTTTATTTTATTTTAATGGGATATTCCATTTTTTTGGGGTTAGCATTCTATTATATATTTATATGTATCCTGAAGCTTCGGTGATGAAAGGATATTCACCATCAGAGCTTGGAGGCGACAGGCAACACGCGGGTAGTTTGACTGGTGAAAATTTTAGGTGGATGGGCAAAAATGAATTTAAGAACTGCTTTTTTGTTTCTATTGCTACTTGCTCATAGTGAACTTACCCCGCACCATCCAAAATCTTGCGTTTAGTTGGGGGAGACTTCCCGGGAAAGTCGCCCCAACATGCTGATTGGGATGTTGGTTTCTATTGCTACTGTAGCGATGTTGACTGGGATGGATGGTTTTGAAGACGATATTCCAATCTAAAGATTGCATGACGGTTGCACGAAACTAGGCGTCCCATGTGAAGCTTCTGGTTCAGCCACTGACGTCCCCAAATGTCCCCAGCCACTGTTCACTTGACCGTGATGTGGCAGTTCTTGTGCCCCCCCATACTGGGGGGTGCAGTTCCAGTTCCAGTAAACTAAGTGGTGATATTTCACCATAGTGGTAGGTCTTAAAAATTACTTTACTTCGTGTGATCCCCACCATGACATTTATACATTTTGTTACTGGCAAATCTTCTGGCATTCTATCTGACATATTTTCTGGCATTCGATCTGGCATTCTATCTGGCATATCTTCTGGCATTCTACCTGGCATATCTTCTGGCAGATGTTCTGGCATATCTTCTGGCAGATGTTCTGGCATATCTTCTGGCATATCTTCTGGCATATGTTCTGGCATATCTTCTGGCATTCCATCTGGCATTCTATCTGGCATATCTTCTGGCATATTATCTGGCAAATCTTCTGGCATTCCATCTGGCATTCTATCTAGCATATCTTCTGGCATATTATCTGGCAAATCTGCTGGCATTCTATCTGGCAAACATTCTGGCACTTTATCTGGCATATCTTCTGGCATTCTAGCTGACATTCTATCTGGCATTCTATCTGGCATACCTTCTGGCATATCTCTAACATTCTATCTGGCATATCTTCTAGCACTCTATGTGGCATATCTTTTGGCGTGGATACTCGCGGTTGAGGTCCGGCAGGGAACACATGGTCGTGGATGGTGGGGGATACTCGCGGTTGAGGTCCGGCAGGGAACACTGGGCGTGGATGGTCGTGGTTGAGGTCCGGCAGGGAACACTGGGCGTGGATGGTCGTGGTTGAGGTCCGGCAGGGAACACTGGGCGTGGATGGTCGTGGTTGAGGTCCGGCAGGGAACACTGGGCGTGGATGGTCGTGGTTGAGGTCCGACAGCGAACACTGTGGATCGCGAGTCGCAGTTGAGCAGGAGGACGAGGAGGACAACGAGAGGAGGAGGAGGAGAAGGAGGAGGACGAGGAGGACCAGGCAACTGACATAAAATCTAACAACCCTCACCTGGCAGGTGGGGAAATCCAACTTTAGGGAGATGAAAACCCAACTTATAGTTCCAGTAAACTAAGTGGTGATATTTCAATATTTCACCATAGTTGTAGGGTTACAACAACTTCCAACTTCTGGGGGGTTTTCTTTCCATGGCTCCCAGGAAAACCAACCCTGGCCGAGGCAGTCGTTCCAGCTGCGCAGCAACCGCATCAGCCACGGCGCCCTCCTCGCTGCCATGGCCGCCGGGGCTGCCTGGCAACGGTGCCTGCGGCAAGTGATGGCGGCGGCTGGCCTAAGCCTCTGGGATCCACGGGGCCCCTGGGAAGCGGGAGGGTTTTGGAGGATTTGGTCCACAAGTGGTGGTAAAAAAGGGGGGTGAATCGATTCAAAAAAAAAAATAAATAAATAAATAAATAAATATATAAATAAATAAATAAATATATATATATATACACGTAATTATATATATATATATACTAATATATATTAGAAGTTTGAATTAAACAACAAAACTTGCGGTTTAATCAACTTATGACTGGACCTATCTGGATGTTTCCAGTCTTGGTGCAGATCTGTAAATTGGGGGAAAATGGTGGATTTCACCAATAAGGTGTGATCAAACCAAGCTGGTTTCCCAACTCGGGGATTTCGACCGAAAATTGGGCCAAGGGATGGTCGAAACACATTTACAGATTACTAAACCAGCACCAGGGAGAGCATGAAATTTAAGCTATCCCAGGATACAACGGAGGAATGACGGTAAGATTCGTAGACTAACCCAAAAATCAGAATTTGAGGATGGCACTTGAGAAGATTTTTTCACAGACGTCACTGAGAGGTGCATGAAAGAGTAATGATTTGCAGTGACATTGATATCCTGTTTGGTGGTTTGGAACATTTGTTTTTCCATATATTGGGAATGTCATCATCCCAACTGACGAGCTCATTTTTTTCAGAGGGGTAGGTCAACCACCAACCAGTATCAATATTGTAGATGGAAAATTGCCTGGGCTTGTTCTGGAAAAAGAGGCATCCCGAGAGGCATCCCAAACCGTGCAGGAAAATCCAACCGCAGATTTTTTCTGGTGCAACATGGGTTTGTGCAAAATCCGGGTGCCGAATCCCGTGCTTGCTCCAATTTTGTTGTACATATCCCCTTTACTGGGCAAAGCTAGGGCATCTCATTAGATGGGCTAAATGATGCCTTTATGTACATTTACAACATTTTACAAATGGAGTGAGTAAATCAAGACTTTCTCAAATCCACATCCCGTATGTTGGGTGGTTGAGAGATCCGGGAGGTTCATCAGCTTCATCCACCATTTCCGGAGCAACCCGAGCGTCGCCAGGTGATGTTGCCTTCAACGCTGCTCTGGCGTCCTTGCGGAGGGAAAGCCACTGGGATTGGCTCAACAAATCCAGAAGTTGCGGAACGGGTTTTACACCGAACGGGTAAACATACAAAAAGCTATGGAAAATAGCCATTTATAGTTGATTTACCTATTAAAAATGGTGATTTTCCATTTCGCTATGTTAAATATTGTTAAATTACCAGAGGGTAAATCCAATCGTCAATCATCTCGACTTGCCAGAGGCGGTATAAACCCTCCAAATTGGTGAGCTTCGGTCTTGGGTTTGCCACATTGCTGGGGTAACTTGTCAATGATCATTATGAAACATGATGAAATGCATTGAAATGCATTGAAATGCATTGAAATGCATTGAAATGCGTCATTATGCCAGCAGGGTATCTTCAGTAATTCAAGAATCTTCAGCGTTTCTGGGGAGGTCGAATTGCCGCTAGCTTGGCACCTTACAGCACCATGATCTTCCACCTTGTCTCATGGATTGGTTGGAAAAATGGCAGGAACAACTTGGAACACCCCAGATTTCATGGGAAAAACCATGGTTTTGTGGTATTTAACCTGGATTTCCTGTGGTTTCCCGTGGGCCTTCCCATCAAAATCATCCTCCCATGGGTTTCCTGTGACCCGTACTTCGCTTCGCGCGCTGCAGGGCTTTGGATCCGGTGTCTCTCCCTGGTGGAAGACATGCACTGCTTGCGATGGGCCGCAGATGATGTGACCAGTTCCGCTGAGAATCATTTGGAACGTTTTTTTTTGGGGAAAAATATGGGAAAAATATGGGAAAATCAGTTTTGCCACCAAATACTGGTTGGTGATTTGGAACATTTTTTATTTTTCCATATATTGGGAATGTCATCATCCCAACTGACGAACTCATTTTTTTGCCACCAAATATCATGGGGAATTTCATGCACATTTTCCTTCGAACCTTGCCGCGGCTCAAACGCCGAGGAACCGAAGTGCTCACGGCTGCAGGGAAGGCGGACGCCTGGTGGGCCACTTTGGCCATGATGGAGGCGCGTGGAACTATAAACACGTTTTTTGGTGGAAATTCCTATGAAAATGGATGATTTGGGGTATCCCCATTTCAGGAAACCTCCATATGATTTCACATCATATATCATATATTATCATATATTTATACATAAATGGCGATGAAGAGAGGTATGTACACACAGGAGCACGTATTTTTTGGTTTTGTTTCCACCCCGGCCCTCGGGACTTTTTTCAGGTAAGCATCTCGAAGTCTAAAGCGAGACATGCATTGGATTTATAACGATAGTTCAATGTCCACCGTGGATGCTGGTTGGAGAGGCTTCCACTTGAACAGTGGCAATTCTCAAATGGGACCCGGATTGAAATGGATTGAACAGCCTGAAGCGTTATTAATTTGGGGAGACCATCTTTTGTTGGTAGAGAGATTTTTTGGCATCAAACTGGCCTCAGATGACTAGCCAGTGGCTAGGAGCTAGGGGCATCCATATTCCCTACTAGTTTCCACAACCATTTGACAATATTTCACCATATTTGACAATATGATACTGTGGATGGAAGAAATCCTGCACCAGTTAATAGGTGGTTTATCCCATTATTTTATGGGCTTTCTACCATCCCAGGTGGTGCAGGATTTCTTCCATCCACAGTAAGTATTGCTGTGATAGTTTTGGTATTTTGAAACATTATTCGATATGCTTGAAGCCATCACCATTACTCCAGGACCCCACCGCACCAGAGAGCATGACGATTCAGGCGGATGGTTGGATGGTTCTGGCACCCAAAAAAAGAGATTAGCAAAATCGAATTGAGATGAATTGAGCAGTGTTCACAAGCCCTGCTGGTTGATGCTGATCGGGAATGATATTTTGGGGATTGTCATCGCCCAGTAGTGGTAAAATACATGTCATTCTGGTTTGGGGGTTACGTTGATGCTAGTCGACATGTTCCAACCTTTCAGCTTCATCAGCTTCAGGTAAGCCTTGTCGCTCACCAGCTACCAGAGGAATTCCCAAAAATTGACTTGCCAAAATTGACCGAGACTTTACCAACAAATGATGACATATGATGACAGATGATGACCCTTGAAATGACATGAAGCTTGAAACATGTTGCGAACATGTTTACCCTCTGGTAAACTAGCATAACTATGGATTATCACCATTTTCAATGGGTAAATCCACGAGCTACGTTAAATTTCCAGATATAAATCCCATTAAAATCACAATTTTTGTTGGTTAAATCCCATTAAACCACCATTAGACCACCATTAATGATGATTTCAATTCACCAAGACCTCTCCAGAGACGACCCTGGAACGCCAGGCTCGGCGTTCCCTGCTGGGCGTGGGAACGACGACAGCAACGCTGGGGCCTGACGCAGTGAAGCTGCCGGAAGTGGCGGTGCCACGGTGGTGCTGCCGGGGTGGAGGTACCAAGGACATAGCAGGACTTTGAGAAATGGGCATTTACCCTCTGGTAATTTAACATAACTATGGAAAATCACAATTTTTCATGGGAAAACTCACTATAAATGGTGATTTTCAATAGCTATGTTAAATTACCAGAGGGTAATGAGTTTCAGCCAAGAAAAGCGGGGACTTTCTGGGATATCTAGTAAGATTACTATAATATACACATGTGATATACGTTTCCCCCTGGTGATGTTTTAAATGGCTATGGCATAGATGTCCCATTACAATCCATTACATAGATTATTTATATAAAAATGGTGATTGCCCATAGCAAAGCTGTTAAATTAACAAAGGGTCAATGGAAAAATGAGTGGTGAACGGAGGGATTTGTTCGGAGCTATGGGGATCTAGAAATTCCCTTCATTTTACGAGAAGCTAAAGAGCTACTAACAGTTTCCCAGCCACATAAATAGTTAAATGGATTTACCACCTGGTTATTTAACATAGCCATGGAAAATCACCATGCGTTTTTTTATAGGTAAACCATCTATTTTGATTAGGGCCATCTATACCATGGCTATGTTAAATAACCAGAGGGTAATTGGTTCACCTGTGCTATGCTGGTTTCAAGCATATTTTTTCAAAGCCTGGCTATGGGAGGATGGATCCAGGTGACCAATTGCCATGCAGTTAATTAATGTAGATACCTGAATATAACGGTGATAGTAGTCGTAACAATATCAAATAGATTCAAATAGTAATTAGAGTTATCCCATTCTTTATAGATAACATCAATTATTAACAACCATTTGTGATTCAATATTTAACCATATTTAATAGTTATTATAGATAGTGATATTACTATGGTCATATTGGTTTGATCATTATTGATAGTTAGCCATGATATAACCATCAATCAATGGGAATTCCAGGATCCTAAAATGGAGGTACTGTACCATATAAGGGCATATTTTCTAGGGATATCACCTTACATAGGCCTGAACAATAGGCCTTATATATGGTAGGTACCTCCAATAAATCGGTTCCTGAAATGGCCATTGAATCAATATCCCATTGTGAATAACCATTGATTTGCCAAGGCCCAGCTCTGGTCCGCGGCGCGCCTGGCCATCCCCCCGCACCACGTCGTCGCCCTACTGGACGCCGCGGCCGCGCGCGTGACGGACGGACGCGAGCTGCGGCGCTGCAGCAGCGCCACGGTGGCGAATTTGGCGTGGGCATATGCGACGCTGGGCACCTCGGGCTGCGGTTGGCGCTTGGGGAGTGCTGGTTGTTACGTATAGCCTATACTAAATACTAACCTTGTTTTTTTTCCGGGGGAGATATATGATAGAAATTGATAGCCAGTTTTTTTCCGGGGAATACCCCGGGTTGTAACTAGTTCATGAATTCCATGGTCCATGTAATGGAGTTTTTAGTATAGATGCTTCACAGATGTTGCTGGACTGGGGTGCGCTTCAGAATGTATTCTCCGGCCGCAAGTTGGAGCCTCCAGTTAGTCATTTTCCAGTACAGACCTTGAGAAGTGAGGGAATCATATGCATTTACACATAGAACCACATACATACAACTACATACAGGCACACACAGAGATGCATGCACGTGTATATATATATAAACACATACAGAACTAATAGATACATCATGCATTATACATGCACATAAACGTGCCATCATACCGTCAAATGTCACCCTTATTAAACTTAAGTATATATATAGACACAAAGATAGAACGCGTTTACTTTAAAACACTATTTGGGTAAGATTTTATTTGTGTATTCTTTTTGGGAGTTGCTTTAAAATATCAATATCTACCAGATCTACTTTCAGGTAATGTAACATAGCTATAGAAATTCACACATTGCTGGAGGCTATCTATATCTTTTTCTGGGTGTGTCTGAAAATAGTGTACCCCAAGTAACCCAATGTAACCCATGGATTCTATTCGATGGTCATCAAGTTCGCCATTCAATAGCTATAAAGGCCCATGTCACACATATTTAAGACCATAGACTGTGGCTGTTTAATAATAGGGATGAAATTACTCTAAGCATAGTTATCTAGCATAGCTTTCCTTCCATCATTTTCCCAGTGTTTTTGCCATCATTTTCCCATTCCCATCACTTTCCCGTCGTTGTCCCGTTAATTTTCCTATCAACTACATGGTTTTCCCATCATTTTTCCATCATTTTCCTATCATTTCACATATTTTCATATATATTTCCCATCATTTTTTCCATCATTTTCCTATCATTTCACATATTTTCATATATTTTCCCATCATTTTTTCCATATTTTCTTTCTTTTTCCATCATGTTCTTCTCCCTTTTGCCTTGAACCGTGGCCATAACTTGCTGCGCCGAGGCGGCAGCGCCGTGGCGGCGCCCTGCCTTTCGTCCCTCGCCGCGGAGCTCCTCGACCGCCGCGCCACGGTCGACGTGGTCGACGTCGCGGCAGAGGTGGAGGCGCTGGTCACGGCAGCTGGGACGATGTATCACCATATGATGGGTGTATGTAGATATATCACCCATAATATAATATGTATATATATGTATATGTATAATCACATATAATATGGGTATATGTATAATATAATATGGTGATATAATATAGTAATATGATGTATATATGTATGGTGATATAATATAATATAGTAATATGGGTATATAATATGGGTATATGTTTATCACCAAATGTATTATATGTATATATAGTTGGTGATGGAAAAGCAAATAGTATATTATAATGCCCAACATATGGGTATATGGGATATATATATGTATATAATATGGGTATATCCTAATCTATGGAAATCTATGGAAAATATGATGCAGATTACCCGGCCTGGTAAACATACAAAAAACGAACTGGAAAATCACCATGCTATCAATGGGTAAATCCACGAACTTTCTATGGTCATTTTCAATAGCTACGTTAAATTACCAGAGGGTAACATAACTATAGAAAATCACAATTTTTAATCGGTAAACTCGGTAAACCATCTATAAATGGGCAATTTTTCATGGCTATTATTATTGTTAATTATTGTTATTGTAATATTTTTTGGTATACCAATAATAGTATTAGTACGAATGAATGTTGTACACGAATGGGATTATATGGGATTATATGGGATTATATGGGATTATATGCGGATTATATGGGATTATATGGGATTATATGGGATTATATGGGATTATATGGTTATATCCTCTGGTAAACTGTTACATAACCATGGAAAATCACTGTGTTTCATAGGTAAATCAACGAACTAAATGGCCATTTGCGATAGCTATGCAACAAAATTACCAGAGGGTAACATTCGTACTTAATCAGCATTTTGACTATTATCCATAATAAATGATGACTCTAATGATATAAAACAGCCATTTGGAAATGGTTTTGATAAACCACCTATTTAAATGATGACTACCGGGGATTAGTTGCGAAATCCTGCGCCACCAAAAGGATGGTTGAAACCCTATGAATGGGATGCTTACCATCTATCAACTGGTGCAGGTGCACAGTATGAACATTTGTTGATAACGCAATATACACCACATAGAAACTATAAAGGATATAAACAAATGTAGGGGTCAATGATATGCTCATAATTCATAAATAGGGGTTACAGTAGATAAA